AGAGAGGCAATAGCCTGCCACTCACTAACCTAACTGCAGCCTTGCAGGAAAAGAATATAAGACCAGTCAGATATTTTGTGGTCCAGAGGATGCACACCCCAACCTAATTAGCACAAGCACCCATTAGAAATTAGCATAAGCAGACCAATCCCATGCAGTAGTCACCCTTGGACCCATAAGCCAAGCCAATTCACTGCCCAAAGCTGCGAGTCGTGTTCCTGAAAATACTTTGCCAAATTTAATGAGGGGTTGGTTAGGAGACTCTTTGCTCCTGGCCAAATCCTTTGCTTTGACAGGAAGTCACATGGCCCAAATATCAGAGGAGACTGAAAAGGAAGAGAAGCTGACCCCACCCACTGCTCTCTTCTCCCAGGCATTTTAAGACACAAAGGACTCACCTCTACCTGTGTGCCACAAGCCTGAATTGTAAAACAGTTCCCACTTTGGTGTAACAGGGAACAAACATGCTGATGACGAGTTCTGAGGCTCCCCCAACAAAGCCATTTTCCTGGGCCCACATGTCACCCTGCTGCAGGCTGCCTACCCACAGGGAAACTGCACTATTCTCCCCACAAACTGAATAGGATGGGGACTATAACTATAACTTCTTAACTTGTGAGTTCTGTTGAGCCACTGCTGCTTCCTCAGTTTAAAGCATGGAGGCTCAGGTGAGCCTTAAGCTAGAAGCTGCCTTCTGGAAATGTGGCATGCAGGAGAAGAAGGACGGACCCCGGGATTGGCTGCCTGCCTTCCACCTCATGATATCCTTCCCCAACCTGGTACTTTCCAGGTGTTCCTGGGCTCCATTCTCATCAGACCCAGGCAGCACGGCCAGGGGTTGGGGTGGGAGCAGTTGTCCAACCAGCTGGTGAAACTCAAGGTGGGCATTACAGCCTCAAAGCCCTTTCCCCACTTCTCTTTCTGCATTTGCCTTGGCCAGTACCTGGCCTTTAGCCTGAGCAGCTCTGCCTACAGACTGGTTCCTTCTGACAGGGAGGCTCTGCTTGGGAAGCCCAGTAGGAGCAGCAACAGAAAGCTCCCTCCACAGGGAAGAAATCCCCTGAAATGATTTCAGGGAGCACTCTTGGCGCTGGAAAGACTTTTCTCACTTTCAGCCTCAGACTGTGGGGTAAAGTTGACTAAGGGTGTCAGTACATCCCCAGGAAGCTCTTCCTCAAAAGTCAGGTGAGTAAGGAAGGAAGAAAATTCACCAGGAGTGGAGGCAGCCTGGAGTTGTAACCCTGAATCTTCTGCACCACAGAGAGAAGTGGCTCTCCTGAGGTCATTAATAAAGGCATCATGCTATTCAGCCTGCATACACAGAGCTGTCTGCTGTAAAAATGGAGAAAATTTCAGAAGAATCCAAGAAAAAGCAATTTCTGAACTTTCTGTCAGACATATGAATGTGCAACTGCAACTTGATGGTGGCAGGTTTGAATATGAAATACTTGAAAGAAAGACAAACCTGCAATATGACTATGGCATTCTCAAGGAAATATTAAAATTTGAGACTTATCAGCTAACACAGCAGCTCACCAATAAGAAGCAAGAATGTGAAGCACCAAAAACTGAGCTTTGGGATGTATTGGGAATATTGGAAATTGAAAAAGTACATAATCAGAAATTGCAAGAAGATAAAGAACATAATTCCAAGGAACATCTGAAAATTCTTCAAATCGTGGACCTAGAGAAACAGTATTCTTAAATGGCATCAAGATGTGAGAAGAAGCTGGAGCAAAATTTAAGTGCTTCTGAAGAAGTTGTTGCTTCTCTACAGAAAACAATTGTGCTGATAAGGAAATTGTATCAGACATGATGAACCAGATCCAGGTATTAATGGAAAACAACAAAACCAACTTGAAGAAGTAAAGACAGGAAGAAATATCAGTGCCACAAAGTATCCAGATATTAAAGGAGAAACAGAAGGAAATTTCTGAATGAAAACTTGTTGGGAGAAAAGCAAATAAATTTCCTTCTCTTGAGTTTGTGTGGCAATGTTCCTTTGTTCTTCTCTCCAGACAAGATGCTGGCTACTTTCTCTCTCTCATCTCTACTCATCCTGTTAAAAGTCCCTGCTTGAATAAAGCCTTCAAACACCAGAAACTGTAAGTGATTACTTCAATATAATTCATCCATGCTGCAATGGGTAAAGCATAAGAAGACATACTAAAAGTTAAATAAGAGTTAGAAAAAGTCCTGAGTGACCATAGAAGCAAAGAGACTGCCTTTCAGAAAATGCTTCAAGAGGTAGAATGAACAAGAGCTTTGAAGGCATTCCATGAGCAAGAAGACACAAGAGCAAAATTGGAGGAAACAGATGACGAGAGAGCAAAAATTGAAATGGAGATGTGCTAAGTTGAACAAATGCTGCTGATAAGGAAGTTGTGTCAGGCCTGATGAACCACATCCAGGCGATGAGGATGTCAACTAGCCAAAAGACAGAGTGCATAGAAGGGCTCACAAGTGAGCTGCAGGACATATAATGTAAGTATAATTTGCTTTGGCTGCAAAAGAGGAAAGCAAAACAATTATAGGAGGTCAGGAGAGGCAAATTGAAAAGTTGAGAGAGGCCTTGGAGAGAGTACAAGATGCTGAGAAAATCGAGAAAGAGCTTATTTGTGAAGAACTACAATGTATTTCTGAGCAGCTAAGCAGTTTAACAGAAGCTTCTAAGAAACATGCAGTACTTCAGCCTGCACAAAGCAGCCAAATTAGGAAAGAATAATGAACCCAAGAACTTCAGGAACAGATGCGGACAAAAGGACAGAACTGGAAAATACTGAATATGAAGCTAAAGTGCACCAAATAGACCTGTTTATTGAATCTGTATTGGCAACACTTCCACAGAGCCCCCAAACTCTTCCCAACAGTCTGGTGAAACTGTTAGAGACAATCAAACAGGAGATGGCAGATACTTTCTGAAGGCCTGCTTTCCTAAGGCTCCCTCACTGCGACTTTCTGAGGAGTGCCCAGAAGGTTTCAGCCTCCCACCCTTGACATGGGGATGTGGCTGCAAGGATGCAATGGCTGCACACTCCCCGGTGAAGTTGCTGTGGTACAGGACGTGGATGTGGAGGAGGGTGGTGGCGTGCCCAGGGCATCACAGTGCCAGGTGCTAAGGTGGCACTGCAGGGCAGGAATCAGGCTGTGGTCTATGGCAAACTAACCCTCTCCATCCTACAAGACTGGGTGATGGTTTGCCTCTGTCATGGTCTCTGCATAGATCTTGGGAGAACTCTTCCACTCCTTCCTATGGAGGCAATTTCTAGGGGCAGTTCCTCTGCAGCAGCCTCGGTTTTGGACCCTACATGCCCTTCCAGATTGGTCCATGCTCCCACCAGTAGGCATCTTCCTGTCTCAGGTAGTAGGCTGCTTTCCCCAGTCAGCTGAGCCATGATGAAAGGGTGAAGATCATCTACCAGAGGCCCACCAATGAGAGGTGATAGTGTGACATTGGATCTCCTGTGAAGGTTCATTTTCTGCACAGGATGGTGGGGATCCCTTTGATGGGTTGTTGTTCCCACTTGCTCCATAGGCAGGAATATGCAAATTAGGCAGATCTTACCGTCCAGTACCTCAGGGACTTCCCTTGCATGCAAAGACAGGCTCCAGTGGATTGAGCAGACAAGACCAATTGTGGGTTTGACAGTTAAGAAGGTGGTAACTGCATGTGCTGCAGAGGGAAATGAAGGGCAGATGAGGCTCATCAACCTGGGAAGAGAGCCCATCTAGGAGAAAGAAAACTCAGGAAAGCATTGTTTAATGTTTGGATAAGATATAAGGACTTATTGGAAAATAAAACCCCAAGGTGGCTGTCACCGATGGAAGCGAAAGCTCTGAAAAAGCTCAATATGGAGGCCAAATGGCCGAAATATTGGGAAATTCTGGAACAAGATGGAGATAGACTGAAATTGCAGAGTTTTGAGAAATTAAAAACAAAGTGCGAGACTGGCTTCATTATTATCAGATAATGGAGGCATATAATTTGGACAAGAAAATTGGTTTCCAGGTGGAAAAATCAAAATTAGAAACAGAACTGTTAGAACCCAAAACTAAGATTTTGTCAAAAATGTATAACTTGCTGTTGAAATGGAATACTCAGGATGAAACGGTGAAATCTGCTATGATCAAATGGGCACAAGATGTTGGACATAACGTAATGATGGCTGACTGGGAACAGTTATGGACCACAGGTATGAAGTTTATGGCATGTAATGCCTTAAGAGAGACTATTATGAAAATGATATACAGGTGGTACATGACACCAGTCAAGCTTGCAAAAATTTATCATTTGCCCGATAACAAATGTTGGAAATGTAAAGAAACTGAAGGTACATTCTTTCACCTTTGGTGGACGTGCCCAAGGATTAAGGCTTTCTGGGAGATGATATATAATGAATTGAAAAAGGTATTTAAATATACCTTCTTGAAGAAACCAGAGGCCTTTCTCCTAGGCATAGTCGGCCAGTTGGTGCCAAAGAAGGATAGAACTTTTTTTATGTATGCCACAACAGCAGCAAGAATACTCACTGCAAAATATTGGAAGACACAAGATCTACCCACTCTGGAAGAATGGCAGATGAAGGTGATGGACTATATAGAACTGGCGGAAATGACTGGCAGAATCCGAGACCAGGGAGAAGAGTCGGTGGAAGAAGATTGGAAGAAATTTAAGGACTATCTACAGAAATATTGTAAAATTAATGAACGTTAGAAAGATGTTGGATAGAAATTAAGTGGTTTTCAGCTGTAATACTATAAGGGAATATGAAAAATGGATTATTAATAGGTAAAAATTTAACGTTACAATATTTTAAGTTTAAAGACTAGGATAAACAAAGAGGGTAAGGATTTGCTGAACCAACAAACTGAACTGGAATACAAAAAAGGGAGGCGTGAGGAGGTCCTGGAAATAAGCTAATGAAAAATAAGTAATGGAAAGATTGAGTTGTTTTTAGTCATTTTTATTTTGTCCTTTTTTCTTTTTTTGTTTTTGTTTTGTAACATTTTGAAAATCTTAATAAATATCTTATAAAAAAAAAGGAGAAAGAAAACTCAGATCCTAAGCCCTCACTGTCTTGTGGCTATACTCATTTGTTAGAAAAGCTTCAGGACCCTACACAAATCCGGAGTGGAGACCCTAAGATGGTTGGGTGGCACCTTATACACCTCCTTCCAGCAACTTCTGCAGCCAAGCCGGTGCCAAATGTATTGCTCTGCTTTCCTTTGAACCACATCCGTGAGGCCAAGAGGAAGGTCTTGTCGCCTGGCAGCCCAGGACCTCCATGCACACTGCTTTAGAGTTGAGCCCCGGGAGGTCACTTCAGTGCTGCAAATGCTGCGGTCTGACTTCAATCCTGGAGTCACTCCCTTGACTCTTGAGACAGGCAGTTGCCAACAGCCAACAACCTCACAATGGGAGGGCAATGCACCCCCAGTTAACAATTCAATCCAGCTCAGAATAAAATATAATAATAATAATGCTAATCTCAGGAGAAAGCATTGCATCCCATGGGTACAAAGCACCAGAAAAATTAGAAAAATGCAAGAACCTAATGCGTTGAGCCAAAGGTGAAGATATTCTCTGGAAGGTCTGCAGGTGCTATCTTGGCGGTCAACATAACCCCAAAACTAATTGGTAGTTGTGGTGTAACTAAGCTAATATATGTTTCTTTGGTTTGATGTATGCTAATAAGCTTGCTTTGATGCTGCGCTTATCTGTGGACCTTGGGATGCTGGGCTCTAGGCCCAGAGAGGGGAAAAGCTTTGGGCAGTTGCCACCTATGGCCTCACCAGCCAGGTGTGATGGGAGGTTTAGGGTATATTGATGTATGCTGCTTTGTGATTAAAATATGTATAATTGTGTGGGTACAGACAAGCCATCTCCTTGCTGCATTGTATGTCCTGCATCTGGAAAGGATGGGAATCCTGGCAGGCTGATTTGCTGTAAATCTACACCTTCTTTTAATAAAGCACTAGAACTGTTCACTCTGGCATTTGGGGCATCATTTTTTGGCATCCCTGCACCCAACCACTCCCATAAGCCATCCTTTGGGCCAGTAGATCAGGGCACTTCAACCCTTGAGGAAGAGGAATGTTCAGTAAAAAATAAAAGAAGTAAAAATTTGAACTGAAATTAGGAGTATTTCAACACTGAACAAGAATATATGCAATTAAAGAGAATACCCAAAAATAAATTTTAAAAAATCATATGAACCAATTTGCCCACCCCATAGCCAAAACTAGCCTAGGGAGGATGGATCCCCTCAATCCCCAGCAGAAAAGGGACCTTCATGGGAGGTCCAATGTCACATTTTCCTGTAGGGAAGAGGGGATCATCAGATGGGATTTGTCAGCTATTCAGATGTGTGGGAATAGCTTATGACCCTACCCCATTGGTAAGCCACTTGCTGTAGTGGAAGAGAATATCTGACCAACTTAGAAGAGCCCAAGGCAACCCGATAACCACTCTTTCCTGGGCCAAAAGGAAGCTATGAGAATGATCTCTGCCCTCCAGTGCCTTACTTTCTGGAATGTGTGCTGAATCACTACCATTAAGGGGAAAGCATACAAGAGACCCTTGTCACAAGTGCTCATGAGGGAGCCTCTGCCTTTTGCTGTTGGGACACTGGAACTTTAAAAGAAGCTGCTCACCTTGTTTTGCTCAGTTGCACACAGGTCCCCATAGGGCTGACCAAAGCGTGCCACTATCTGTTCAAACACCAAGGGCAGAATACTCCATTCTGCTTGGAACACGTCCTGGCAACTCAGCCAATGCACCTTGATACTGGACACACCCAATACATGTTCTGTAGTGATAGATGTGAGGTGGTTCTCCAACCAGTTGAGCAGACATGTTGCCTCCTGCAGTGGTGTCAGGGATCTGCCCTGATGAAAAATATGAGCTTTTGCACAAACATTGCCTGCGTGTATCAGGACACCCATCCCTTCCAGGTGATGGTGGAAGGCCAAGAGAACTAGTCAGATTGCCCTCAGTTCCAGCAGATTCACACTCTGTATCCTTTCATCCTATGCCCAGAGCCCCAAGGCATGAAGCTCCCCTTGTGGGTTCCCATGCCCTGTAGGCTGGCACCCAGTTATCAGGACCCTGGATGGATCCCACATCTGCCATCCCTGTAGGAGTGCTGAAGAGAGCCACCATTGGAGGGATTACCTGGTAATGGGAGAATGCCTTGTTCTTCAATGCAACCAATATGTAATCTCTTCCTGGAACAGAAGAACCTGCCACTGCAGGAGTGATGACGAGACCATGGTACAATGTCCATGCATGAGACTATGCTCCCCTTCAGTTGGGTCAGATGTTGAATGCCTGGACAAGGTGACCTCAGGACTGCTTGATCCTCTGTTTATTTTTTGCAATCGCTCCTGTGACAGGGAGACTAGGCCTAATCTCATGTCTAGCATGGCCCCCCGATACAGCAGCCTCTAAGAAGGCATCACGTGCGAGTCTTCCATGTTCACAAGGAAGCCATGGTTGGGTAGACATTCTACAACTTCCTTGAGCCCTGCTGAAGTGAAACAGTGGCTGTGTGCCCTCCAAAACTTCAGCTCTCCAGGCGGGGTGATTAGAAGGCAAGGGCAAGGCTGGCACAGGTCTCAGCTGCCTTTTTGAAAACTTAGCTGACTGCTCCTCCACAGCCTCTGCCAGCTCCTGGGATGCTGCTCTCCAGTACCTTACCAACAGCTTAGCCTGCTTCACAGGGTAGTTGTGAGGATACAACCAGGGGGAACCATGTTCATCTCCTTAAGATCTTTGGACAAATGGCAGAATGCAAAAAGGTAGAGGCCATGAACACAGTATACCTTTAAGGCACATTTTAAACACATTCTCTCCCTCAAATAATTCTGGGTACTGTAATTCCCCGCTGCTGGAATTATTAATTCCCAGCAACCCTTAACAAGCTGCAGTGCCCAGAATTCTTTGAGGGTGGAAGTGTACTCTGAATGTATTTTAAAGGTACAGTGTGCATGCAAGCCAAAGTGTGTTGCAATGCCTGCTGAAGGAGCTGAGAGAAAAGTGCTAGGAAGCTATGCAAAGCTTGGAAGAAATGTGGGGGAAATGGCTGCAGTGTCCATGGATCTAGGCTTGGCTGCAGCAGAGACTAGCCCAGCTGGGCAAATGGGTAATTGCCCCACCAACTTCAGACAGTGCCCTGTCCACCACCCACCCTGCCTTTTTACTTGTCACTAGCCCATGGGGTGCTGCTGTCAGCTCCCTTCATCTTACTCTCAGGTTACATACACACTATATCTTTAAAGCAAATTCTTTCCCCCAAAGAATTATAGGCACTGTAGTTTAGTGTTAAAATTCCTAGCAACACCTAGCCAAATGCAGTGCCCAGAATACTATGTTGAGATTTCTGCACTGCAAGGGGTTGGATTAGATGACCCTCAAGATCCCTTCCAACTCTACAATTCTATGATTCTAAAATAATGTCATTTAAAGCCAGTGTGGTGCAGAGGCAACAACCCAGAAGACCACGGCTTAATGTTGCCCTTGTAGAACTCAGCATGGAGGATGGGGGACAAACTAGTATCAGTTGCCTTTGCCTGTTGCTCCTGCTGGTCTCTCTGCCTTGTGCTGACTGTGAGTCCCAAGAGGCACCAGAGACTACTCCCTGAGAAGACCCAAGTGCAAATAAACAATAAATCCTCAGACTCAATCATCACACAAATGACACGTTTGACATGTAAGAGAGTAATGACTCCTTTCCAAAGCTTTACCCAAAAATACTTAGAAAAGCCGGTGACCGATAGAGGACACAGACATATTGGCTTCACAGTGGTTTAATATGAACAAGTCTTGGACATTACATAAAACAGTAAACTGAAGACATAGTTTGCTGAATTACAAGCCCCACATCAGTATGGATATGTATGTGTGTGTGTCTATAAATATAGACACATATAGACACACACACAAAAACACACACATACAGCAGCAAGAGTCTCCTCTGATCTCCAGACTTGTGCACCAAATGAAGGAAGGAATTTGAAGAACTCATAGCTAATGCAGATCCACGAGGCAGCAGCAGGCCGCTTCCAACAGGAATGTTAGCACCTCTCCAGCAGCAGATGAGAGTGGTCCGTGTAGAGACAGTTTCTGCATAGCTATTGCTTAGGGAGCCCAGAGAAGAGAGTTTTCTGCTATCCAGTTACCCCATAGGTGGGTGGTGTATATCCACAACCTCTTGCCTGAAACATGCAGAATTGTATATACCAGTTCTTTCTCCCCTCCAAGACACACTTGTACTGCTCACTCCAAATAGTGCAAACTTCAGAACAGGGAACTTTGTGATTACAGTCACTTTATTACTTAGGTTGATACGACTCTCTTCCTGCCCCCACCTCTTGCAGGTCAGAGTTTTGGAGGGATCACAAAGTTTCTTGTTCAGGTCAAACAAAGAGGCTGTACAGATACCATGGTCATTTGCAAGACCTCCCAACAGATTAAATATTAAACAAACAGTAGGGAACTTTGCACCATAACCCCAAATGGACAGACAAGAGGCCAGATGAAGCTATCCACTGAACACAGAAGCGGCATGCGAAACATCCCTTAGTTTAGGTTCCACTTGCTCCATCTTTTAACTTGCCAAGGTGCAATCCTCAAAGAAAACACTGCTCTACAGGTTTCACCATCAAAAGCCAGCCACCAAACCTTTCCTGCTCAGTCCTCAACATGAACCCTGCTTCTGAGACGCCACTGTTTGCTTTGCCCATGCATTTACAAGAAGCCATTCTGCTACCAGAAGTTGTGGCTCCCAAAGGGTGCCTTGTTCTTTGGGTTGCAAGTCTGCCTCTAACTCTACAAAGCCCAAAGGTTATTGGGGTAGGATTAGCAGCTAAAACCTCAAGGCATACTGAAGGGGTCACTTGAAGTCCCTCAGAAGGCCTTACTGCTCAATAAAGGGAGCTTCCAAACTGCTTTTGGTCTACAGTACCCTCCTAGCAAGTTAAGGGAAAAACATTTTTTGCTTCCCACTTTTAATCATTCTGGGGTGATGGGCACAGATGCTAACAAAAAAACCCTGAAACATCTCTGCAGTAGCCAAGAAAAGGAGCCTCAGTACCATGACTTCCCTAGGAAACCTGTGGCAAGGAGCACACTTACACATGCTGGATAATCCTCCATATTCTTACACAAAGGAAGAAAAGCAGCTCTGATGTACTCTGCAATACCTTACACTAGTCTCCAGTTCATTTTCAGCAAGCTTTACCTATCCACCAATAGGCACAAGCTCTTCCCAGGTTCTCACCTTTTTATGCAGAGACCAAAGACCAACAGAACCCAACGCTGCTGCCTAACAAGGGGTGGGATGGGGTGGGATGGCGTGGTGGGCACACTAGACAAGTGAGGAGGTTTAAAGAGAAAAAAGCTGGTTCGGAAGAGGGGCAGTGTAAAAATAAATGTCATTTTTGCACGGGGAGAGAAAATGGAGAATGCCAGACTCCTCTACTGACGGACTTTCCCTGGGATGTAATTTCTATCGATAGTCTCCTCCTGCAGGAACATGTGTAAGCAGCGCTCGTTCTGTGCCAGCGGGTGTCCAGCAATTCTGCCAAGAACAAGAAGAAGTGTTAGATTAGCAATCAGCTACCCAATTCTGTACAAGGCAAGGCAAGATCATGTTGTGCAACAGCAGCACACACAAGCACTCAGGACACTTGCAGCATTGTCCATCTATTTTGGCTGGCCTCTGTTATTTTCATTTGCCACCAATCCCATCTCTCCAGTCTTTGGAGGCACTCAGCACCCCCAGAATGCATCCTCTCCAGGAAACAGGCCCAGGAGGACTTTTCATCTATGAATTTGTGCAGGGATGTAGAAGGTTGTGCTTCTAAAGTTCAGCATCCAGGGACAACTGCCAGATTCTGTGTATGAAGTGTAGTTTCCTTGACAACTGGATTGTAGACCCTTCAGTTTTGTCTGTGCTACAAACATTTCGGTTTTGTATCAGAATAGCTATCATGTCTCTCTTTCCCCACAAGCAGATTTTCAGAACTGTAGTCTGATAAGTTTGTGTGATAGGGCTCATCCTAGTAGTTTACCAGGCAGAAATGGCCCAGCTGCTGAATCACGACTGTATGTGGTTTAGGAAGTGGTCATGGCTCCCTACTTCCTCCCTGAAAGAAGCAGCTGGAGAGTGGTGGAGCCTTATTACAAGGGGTTGGGATAAAGTCAGATAATGGGAAGATATAAGTTGATAGTCTCTGGCTAGTAACTGTTTCTGTCATGACTATAAATTTAAAAAATAATAATTTAACAATAAACCAGCTTTCTCATTTTAGCATTTCTAGCAGACTTGAGGCAGCATAACTGCAGGCTCTTCACCACTTAAGGCAGCTTTTGCCAACCCAGTGCCCTCCAGATGTTCTGGACAAAAACTTGCATCAGCCCTGGCCATCACAGCCACACTCCCAGCAGGCCCAGCATCCTACAGCCCTGCTGGCTGGGACAGATGGTAATTGTAGTATAAAACATCTGAAGAGCATTAGGTTGCTGCAGAGTATCATAAAAGCACTCTTTAGAGAACTACAGTTCTTAGGATTCCACATGAAGAGAAGACCAATGGTATGCTTAAGATGATGCCTAGAGTTACTGGCAACCACGATATGCAATCTAGTTACTACACTGTGCAATGACACATCCTCCTCTCCCAGAGTCTTTCACTTCCCCAAGTATTGAAGACCCAGGTGTCACTCTTACTTGTTTATGAACTGTTCTAAGCCCTGTCTTCTTTCTTCTATGAAGGACTCCTCAAAGATGCCCTCATCTCCTCGGAAAGGAAGCTGGCGCTTCAAGGCTTTGCCAGGCAGTGGAGGCACTACAATCTAGAAACATTGAGAGCATGACTTAAGAGGGGAGCAGAACCACTCTCCTTCTGCTGCTTGATCTGTTAGGGTCACCACTAGATCCAACAGGGAAGAGTAGGAGAGCTCTCTGCCACAGGAATGAAGAAGAAAGTTATCTATTGATCTATTTATTATGCATACAGAGTGGATGTTCATTTCCTGTACCCACCTTACTGTCACGCTCTAGCTCATTTTTCAGCCATTCAAAGTCACTATACCGTCGCCTCACACAGGACTCTTTCAGTTTGAAGATCGGCAGATTTGTCTGAAAGGAGGCAAGAGAAAGTTCTAATTGACAACTGATTTATTATTATTGATTTATGAATCATTCCCCGTTAGGCATACCAAAGCAATTTGCAATATAACAAAAACTTATGCAAAACACAAAACAATGTGCAATTGTTTTAACTAACAGTTTAATGTAACAACTGCAGATACATAAAATCAATTCAAATCAAATACAGTGGTACCTCGGGTTAAGTACTTAATTCGTTCTGGAGGTCTGTACTTAACCTGAAACTGTTCTTAACCTGAAGCACCACTTTAGCTAATGGGGCCTCCTGCTGCTGCTGCGCCGGAACACGATTTCTGTTCTTATCCTGAAGCAAAGTTCTTAACCTGAAGCACTATTTCTGGGTTAGCGGAGTGTGTAACCTGAAGCGTATGTAACCAGAGGTACCACTGTACAGGTATCAACTGAGATAGACATTATAATACTAATTTATAATAATTTATTTATACCCAGCCCATCTGGCTGGGTTTCCCCAGCCAGTCTGGGCGGCTCCCAATCGAATATTAAAAACACAATACAGCATTAACAGGTATCTTTTAAAAGTAGGATAGTTGCTTATTTCCTTGATGGGAGGGCGTTCCACAGGGCAGGCGTCACTACTGAGAAGGCCCTCTGCCTGGTTCCCTGTAACCTTATTTCTCTAGTGAGGGAACCACCAGAAGGCCCTTAGCGCTGGATCTCAGTGTCTGGGCTGAATGATCAGGGTGGAGACGCTCCTTCAGGTATACAGGACCGAGGCCGTTTAGCACCAACACTTTGAATTATGCTCGGAAACGTACCGGGAACCAATGCAGGTCTCTCAGTACTGGTGTTATATGGTCCCGGCGGCCACTCCCAGTCATCAGTCTAGCTCCCGCATTCTGGATTAATTGCAGTTTCCGAGTCACCTTCAAAGGTAGCCCCACATAGAGTGCATTGCAGCAGTCCAAGCGGGAGAGAACTAGAGCATGCACCACTCTGGCGAGACAGTCTGTGGGCAGGTAGGGTCTCAGTCTGTGTACCAGATGGAGCTGGTAGACCTGGACACAGAATTGACCTGTGCCTCCATGGGCAGCTGTGAGTCCAGAATGACTCCCAGGCTGCGTACCTGGTCCTTCAGGGGCACAGTTACCCCATTCAGGAACAGGGAGTCCCCCACACCTGCCTGCCCCCTATCCCCCCAAAACAGTACTTCTGTCTTGACAGGATTCAACCTCAATCTGTTAGCTGCCATTCATCCTCCAACTGCCTCCAGGCACTCACACAGGACCTTCACCGCCTTCACTGGTTCTGATTTAAAAGAGAGGTAGAGCTGGGTATCATCTGCATACTGATGAACACCCAGCCCAAACCCCCTGATAATCCTTCCCAGCGGCTTCATATAGATATTAAAAATCATGGAGGAGAGGACGGAACCCTGAGGCACAAGTGAGAGCCCAGGGGTCTGAACACTCATCCCCCAACACCACTTTCTGGATATGGCCCAGGAGAAAGGAGCAGAACCACTGTATAACAGTGCCCCCAGCTCCCAGCCCCTCCTGACGGTCCAGAAGGATGTCATGGTCGATGGTATCAAAGACCGCTGAGAGATCCAGCAGAACTAGGAAACAGCTCTCACCTTTGTTCCTAGCCCGCCAGAGATCATTGATCAGCACGACCAAGACAGTTTCAGTCCCATGGTGAGGCTTGAATCCCGATTGGAAGGGATCCACATGGTCTTCATCCTCCAGGCATGCTTGGAGTTGTTCAGCAACCACCCGCTCAACCACCTTGCCCGAGAATGGAAGATTTGAGACTGGGCGATAGTTGACCATGTTGGCTGGGTCTAAAGGTGTTTTTTAAAGAAGCAGTTTAATGACCGCCTCTTTCAGGGGGCCAGGGAAGGCTCCCTTGCAGAGGGAAGCATTCACCACCCTGCAGAGCCCATCGCCCAGCCCTTCCCGGCTCGCTTTTATTAGCCAGAATGGGCAAAGATCAAGGAGACAGGTGGTTGGTTTCACTCGTCCAAGCAGCCTGTCCACATCCTCGGAGGTAACAGATTGGAATTGATCCCATATAACATGACTAGACAGGACTCCAGCACTCTTCCACCCTGGCCCTGCTCCCACGGTGAAGTCTACCTCCTTCCGAATCTGAGTGACTTTATCTGCAAAAACTTTGCAAAAGTATTGCAGGAGATCTTGGGGTCCCTACCAGGCCCCGGTGACGAAGGTGGTTCCGATAGATTGCTAAGCACCTGAAATAGTCTCCTGTTGCTGTTTTCTGCAGATGCAATAGAGGCGGTGAAGAAGGTCATCTTCGCCGTCGCCATCGCCACTTGGTAGGCTCAACGTTGAGCTCTAACCCCAAGCTACTTAGAAGGCTTGCTGCAAGAGGAATACTTCCAGCAGGTGAAAAGCAACAGAAAACACCAGTCCAACATGCAACTAGAGGGAGTTTTAAAAGGGTAGGTACTACCACAGCTTAGACCCAATTCCAACATTGTGTGGAATAGACCTCCTGATAGAACTGTATCTGCAGGATGCTCTCTCACATGGGACAGTGATTGGTTGGGTATGTATGTTGGGATGATACAATCTTTTAGTAATCTTGATCCCAAACTGTAGAACTTTCTATACCATAACTAGCATCACGAACCTAGCCCAACTGGCAGTCTAACTGCAATTATTTCAGCAACAGCACAATAAAATGGCAATATTTCGGCCCACTGAGCGTCAAGCCACTGCATTCTGCACAAGCTACAGCTTTCAGTTCAGCCTAAAGGGCAGCGCCACGTAGAGCACATTGCAGTAATATACTCAGTAGCAGTTCAAAAGCACAAAGTGCAAGTAGATAAATAGGTACCGTTCCGACGGGAAGGTAAACGGCATTTCTGTGCGTTGCTCTGGTTTGCCAGAAGCGGCTTAGTCATGCTGGCCACATAACCCGGAAGCTGTACACCGGCTCCCTCGGCCAATAAAGCGAGATGAGCGCCGCAACCCCAGAGTCGTCCGTGACTAGACCTAATGGTCAGGGGTCCCTTTACCTTTACTCTTCAGAAGCAACTGCTTCAGCTAGGTAGCAGGCACAATTATAGTGCAGTGGCACAATTGCTTTAATGGCAAGGCCCAGGACAACCACTTCTAGATACTCACCCCTTCTAGCTATTCTACAATACAGCAAAATCCTGCCCCTTGCAGACTCAAAAATCCTTTCCACTAGTCAAGAGGGTGTTTCAAGAGCTCCTTTCTAGGGAAGGAACTTAAAATGCAATTAATTGCTTGAGAAGGACATGTAGGTCACAAATACCCATTCTGCAGAATTGTCATCTGTTCCATACCAGTAACTAAAATTACTTTTGTTATGCTGAGTTGACTGGTCCCCCCTATTCCAATCCAACTAGTATTTTAGATTGTAAGATCCTAAGGGCAGCAACAAATGCTAATCTCACTGTAAAGGGATGAAGAACCTGTGGCCCTCCCAGGTGTTTATTGGACCCCATTATCCCTGACCATGGCCATGCTGGCTGGGATTGATAGAAGTTGGAGTGCAGCAACATATGGGGGTCCATAGGTTCCACACCATGATGTAGGCTACTGTATTGTTGTTGGCCTCTGTCTCGAGAGACAATAGAAGAATGCATCATCGGGAGTAAATCACAGGGAGAGTTACAGCGCCTGCTGTGGCTGCAGAGAATGATAAGGGAGAGACATGTTTTGTTGCAGCTGGGGCAGATGAGGGCATGTGGTTTCACTCTTACAGATGCACCCTTGTGTTTCTTTTCTCTGCATATGTAATGTTATAGTTGCAATCCATTACATCAGTGGCTCCCAACTGGTGGTCTGTGTGATCCACCCAGGGGTTACGTAGCACCATTCACATATTAAAAACTACCATAGAGGTATCAAAATTTACAAAGGCAGGAGTCAATGGCTTGCCTTTTGAGCCCCTGCTTTACATGATTACCAGGGAGCAAGTTTCCCTGAACTCAGTGTGGCTTCTCAGCACATATCTAGGAATGCACATAAAATAAAGGCATAGGGAGGCGAAAGGAGGGGAAAACATTAACCCCCACACTGCTCAGTCTCTGCTTAAGTTGATTCTTCTCCAAGGCTGCCCCACACAGCCACAATCGGGATCCATGGTGACATCAGGCAGGTGTGCACCAAGGATGCACCAGATACTACCCCAAATCAAAAAAGAAACCAACCCTGTGCTAAAGGCTTAGCTGAGAGATCAGCAACCTTATCAAAGGATGGGCCAGTCAGAGGATGGGCCAGAGCATGTGTGCATGCGCACTCTTCCGGGTCAGAGGAGCGCCCGTGCGCATACACTATTTTTCCAACGCTCCTCTGATCCAGAAGTGTGCCGGAAATAGTGTGTGTGCACGTGCACAGGCACTTCTTCATCCTGCACGCATGTGCATACACTATTTTCGGCACACATCTGGGTTGGAGGAGCGCCTGTGCACATGCGCACAGGTGCCATCAACCTGGAAGTCAATCCCCACGGTGCGCCGGTAAGAGCGGGGGGTGCCAGGGGTCGCCATGTGCCAGTTAGACAAGACTTGTGGGCTGCTACCGGCCCATGGGCCTTAGGTTGCCGACCCCTGGCTTAGCAGATTCACGCTGACTTACAAGCCCATTCACTACTTGCAATATTCTGTGAGGCGGGATCAGCTTGAGCAAGCAGATCTATCCTCAAGCCCATGTGTGCTTTGTAGCAGAGTGGGCAGCCTCTCCCAACCCAGGGCCCCCTCTTTATCCACAGAACGATCTAACCACTATGCCACACCACCCCTTTATACTGCACCTACCCCATGGCCTCCATGTAACTATAACATTCCTGCCTATCCTGCTTACAGGAACAGGGTAAATACAAATGATTTTTTAAAATGAATTAAAATGAGGGTCGGAATCCCCCCCCTCAAATAAGGCAGGTGTTGGGCGTGGCACGAGGGCGCCCTATTCCGTTCCCCCCCATTGACACCCCGCCCACTAGAAGACCCCCCCGCGGCCCCGCCCCCTCCTCCCTCACCCCGCCCTCGCCCCCTCCCTTACGCACCCTCATGCGGAGCTCGTAGCTGGTGTATCTGGCCCGCCCGACGCCCACGGTCTGCGGGTTGAAGATGTCGATCTCCAGGAAGTTGCTGGGCGGCCCGTAGGCGTCCGTCAGGTCCTGCGGCTTCGAGTTGAGGCGCCGCGTGTCGGCCACGGCCGCCTCGGACATAGCGGAGAGGGAAGGAGGGGAGATTCTGGTGGTCAGAGCCGCCTCAGCGGAACGCACCCTGCCGCCGCTGCCGCCAGCTTCTCCTCAGCCGCGGCGCCGCAATACCATGGCGCCGCCCCGGAACCTGCGTGGGGAGGCGCCGCGCCGTGCCCGCCCTGCATAACTCCGGTGGGGATTCATGTTCCGGGGCCCGCCTCCTCCCTCTGACAAGCCGTGCCAGCCCCGCAACGCGCATAAGCAATAACGGGCACATTGGCTAAGCGGCGGAGTTTATGAGTTATCTTCGGCGCGTGGCTGCGCGCCACCGAGCCCTGGAACCTGTATGGCGCAGCAGTGGTCAGTTTATGGTGCGGGGCCGCCGCTAGGTGTCCTACTCCGAGCTCTGCGCCGTGAAGTGCCTTGCATAACTGGCAGAATCATCCATGGCGCGGGGAGGCTCCTGGGCGCTGCATCCCTGCGCATGCGGCGCTGGCGCTGCTGGTGGAACCGGTGGGGAGCGTTTTGTTGTTAGCCCCCGGTTCGATCACTGTTATTATTATTATGCATTTTAACTTGCTTTAACGCCCCCAAACCCGCTAAGGATGAACTCAAAGTGCCTCGCAGTCCGAAATCCATAACACAAACAAACGTTAGAAAATGCTGCGCGACTGCAAATGTATCAGCAGCACATATATGAATAAAACAAAACAGGTTTCAGTGGCAGCAGGTCTTTCTTATGTTTTTATCACCGCTCTTCATTTGATTTACAGTATTTATTGCAGATGGTGACAGAAGTCACAAAATTAAAAGACACCTGCTTCTTGGGAGAAAAGCGATGACAAACCAGGACAACATCTTAAAAAGCAGAGACATCACCTTGCCAACAAAGGTCCGTATAGTTAAAGCTATGCTTTTCCCAGTAGTGATGTATGGAAGTGAGAGCTGGACCATAAAGGAGGCTGATCGCCGAAGAATGGATGCTTTTGAATTATGGTGCTGGAGGAGACTCTTGAGAGTCCCATGGACTGCCAGAAGATCAAACCTATCCATTCTTAAGGAAATCAGCCCTGAGTGCTCACTGGAAGGACAGATCGTGAAGCTGAGGCTCCAATCCTTTGGCCACCTCATGAGAAGAGAAGACTCCCTGGAAAAGACCCTGATGTTGGGAAAGATGGAGAGCACAAGGAGAAGGGGACGACAGAGGACGAAATGGTTGGACAGTGTTCTCGAAGCTACCAGCATGAATCTGACCAAACTGCGGGAGGCCTGGCGTGCTCTGGTTCATGGGGTCAGATACAACTAAACGACTAAACAACAACAAAAAATTATTTGTGATACATCGTTATCCAAATATTTTTTCAATAAAAACAGCATATCACAGTGCAAGAAGCATTCAGTAGCTGTAGCTTGGTATAGCATGTGCTTTGTGCAGAAGGTCCCAGGTTCAGTCCTCCACATCTTCAGGGAAGGTAGCTTATGTCCCCTGACTGTAACACTAGAAAGTTTGCACTAGTCAGTATATAGACAATGTTGAGCCAGATGGGCCTGTGGGCTGACTCTGTATGCGGCAGTTTCTTATGTTATTAGCTCAGTGGTGAAGTGCTTGTTTCACATGCAGAAGGCCCCAGAGTCAATGCCCAAAATCTCCAGGTAGGGTTGGGAATGTCCCCAGCCAGATACCCTGGAGAGATGTGTAGACAGTACCCAGTAAACAAGGTTGGGCTATTTTCATAAGGGATGCATAATGGGCTTTTCCTGTATTTGTATGAGAATATCATTTGTATTAGAAGGTCATGATCCCACACACCATCCAAAAATTGTAAGATTGCAGGATCCCCAAAGGGGTGCTCTGCGGTGACCTGGCTTCAGGCACCAGGCCCATTGGTAGACCAATTCTGTGTTACAAAGATGTCTGCAAACAAGACATGAAGGCTGGCAACATCAACTCTGCTATGTGGGAATCGCTTGCAGATGACCACAGTGCTTGGAGACAGGCTATGTAACCATAGCAGTGACCAAAGAATGAATGACCTCTGGGAGAAGCACAGAGAGGAGAAACACCATGATGCATCTGCAGTAACACAATTGGATCCCTTCATCTGCCCCAGCTGCAACAAAATATGTCTCTCCCATGCCAGTCTCTACAACCACAGCAGGCGCTGCAACCTTCCAACAATTTGACTTCAGCCCCAAAAGCACACTCCTCCATTTTCTCCCGAGGCAGATGGATGCTCACAATTAGAATGAAATAATTACACTGGCTAGTGTGCACACTAGATTTCAAACTTTCTATAGTTTTGGCTTTCTGTGGTGTTCTATATAATTTGCAAGAGACACATAACAACTGGGGAGTGGAGGTGAAAGAGCTTTAATGTTAAAAGTACGAAATTTGCAGCCAGAAGATGTGGCTCCACAGATGAGAAGTTGCCAGTGGAAAGGCCTTCTCCTTTGTCACCATCTTCTGAGCCTCCCTTGAAGGAGGGACCTGGAGAAGGGCTTAGATGAAGATCTAAGTGGCTAGAGACTTTCATTTTGGGAGAGACATTCCAGGAGATATTGGGGTCCTGAGCCACAAAGATCTGTGCAAACACAAAATGGACACAGCTTAGCTATCGAAGGGGTGTTGTGCAGTATACTTCTGATTACCAGTTGCTGGGAATCACAAACAGGGAGAATGCTCTTGTGCTTAAGTCCCCTTTGAGTAATTTCTGGGGCAGCTCCCCACATGAACCCACCTGGACCCTACTTTCACCATCAGAGGCCTTTCTCCTTGTACCCCCCCGAGGGAAAGGTGGTGTGTGCTAACACAAGAAAGGTATTTTCAGCAGGTGACTCAGCAATCTTTAGGACATTCTGAATCCTAGAACACTCTAGGAATTGTATCACAGTGAGGGGGAAAGGGGCCTCCTAACAACTTTAATGACTCTTGAGGAAACTACCCTTCCCAGGATCTTTTGGGGGAAGGCATGGCTGTTTAAAGTCCAGGCACTGAGGTCCAGCTCCGAGAGCCTTCTGGCAGGTCCCTCACTGGGAGAAGTGAAGTTACAGGGAACCAGCAGAGGGCATTCTTGGTAGTGGTGCCTGCCCTGCGGAATGCCCTCCCATTAGTTGTCAAGGAGATAACCATATGTCTTCTTGAAGACATATGAAAGCAGCCCTGCATACAGAAGTTTTTGATGTTTTATTGTGTTTTTGTATTTTGCTGGAAGCCACCCACAGTGGCTCAGGGAACCTAGTCAGATGGGTGGGATATAAATAATAACATTATTATTAAACTGGTATGATGCTGGTTTAAAATGTACACTTCAGGTGCCCCTTCCCCTCTTCAGCAAGTTTAATGGCTGAAGATCTGACCTTTGCTCACCTTGCACCGCAGGCAGCATCTGTCCTGAGTTCATCCAACCGAGGAAGCTCATCCTCTTCAGAGACAAGCTGAATCTTGCAGCATCTTCTCAACTTGAGCGAAGCTTGCCTCCCCGCCCTCGCCCCCCCACAGAAGCAGTTTTATTCACATGTGGAAAACTGCAAATGTATTTTTCAATTTCTAAATGTCTATCTCATATGGAGAGAGAAAAACCACACGCAGAGACTTTGTGTAGAATAGTAATAAGTACACACATACAAGCGAGAGAATTTGTGTAGGTTTAATCGATTAATAAATCAGTTGGCTAGCTGTCGTCTAATCAATCATTGAAGACGCCTTTAATCTGGCTGCATCATCCACGCGCGGGAGGGGGGCGATTAGACAGAACAGCCCCGGCAGAGCTTCGCCGTGGCGGGCAAAGGGGGGGAGTAGCAGCCGCTGGACACACCAGCCAAAGGAGTGGGAGCGCAGCGCCGCCTAGCACGGCGCACTTGTTTTGGATGAAGCGGATTGGTTGGTTGCTTATGTAACGCCGGCACGGTGGGGCTGGGGGGGGAGGAGGAGGAGGGAGACAGAGGGTAAGCGCGAAGTTGGAACTCTGGGATTTGTAGTCCCATGGTCTCCCTCCTTCCTCGAAATTAAGTCTCGCGCTTGGCCTGACGGGAAACCGCGTCCAGCTTCGAGGCGCTTCCCCCCGCCCGCCGTCGCCTCGCTTGGGGGACTACGGCTCCCAAGGTGCACCGGGTGCGCACGCGCGGGCTCATTTCCAACTCCCCCCGCCCCTCTCCCCGCCTGTGATAAACAGTGCCGCCGAGGCGCCTGCTCTCGTGGCGGAGCGCTCAGTTCTGAGCGAGAATCGGCGGCGAGCGGGAGGGCCCTCAGGGCGGGCGGTACCACCGAGAGAGAGATCGAGGCGCGGGCAAAGCCGCCGCTCGGGCCGCGCCACCTTTCGGGCGAGGACCGGGGGAGATCGCCGCGCGGGTCCGACCGTCGGCGGGTGATGTGGCGGCGCTGAGGGCGGCCGGAGACCCGGAGCGTCGCCATCATGGCGGAGCCGGCGGGGAGCCCCTCAGCGGCGGAGTCTCCCTCGGTGGCGGCGGCTTTGGATCCGGAGTTCCCCCCTCAGAGCCGGCCGCGCTCTTGCACTTGGCCGCTGCCCCGGCCGGAGCTGGCGGCGGCCGACACGGAGCCCGGGGCAGCGCCCGGCAGCGGGCTGGGGAGTCCTGAGGAGCCGGCCGGGGTGGCGGCGGCCGGGGCAGCGGCGGCCGCGGCGCCGGGAGGCGGCGGCGGGTCCGGCGGAGCGCGGAAGAGCGGCGGCGGCGGCGGCGGGTCCGGCGGCGGGGCGCGTCGCAACGCCTGGGGCAGCCAGTCTTACGCGGACCTCATCAGCCAAGCCATCGAGAGCGCCCCTGACAAGCGCCTGACGCTGGCGCAGATCTACGAGTGGATGGTCCGCTCCGTGCCTTACTTCCGCGACAAGGGTGACAGCAACAGCTCCGCCGGATGGAAGGTGAGTCCCCGGGGGTGGCGAGGGGGCAAGAAGTGGCTTCGTGGGGAAAGGGAGACAGCAGAAAACCAGCCGACAACAACAAAGCAAGAGAACACGCCGCGGGGTTGATTCGGTTTGTTATCCACCTACGCCGCTTTACATTCGTAAAGCAGCTTACAAACAGAAGACAGCAACAGCACAACGTGCCCGCCTAAGTTACTGCACTCGGAGTAGACCCATCGGAATCAGCTAACCCAAATTGAGCCGTACCCAGTTATTTCGGTGGGGCTGATCGGGAGTGGGGGTGGCATATTAGATGCAAGCCTATATCCACGCCGCTTTCCATTCGCATGAATTGCAAAGTGGCTAGCAAAGAGAAAACAACAACAGCATAATGTGCCCCACTAAGTTACTGCACTTGATATAAACCCATCAGAATCAGCGGGCCGAAACTGAGTCGTGCCCAGTTATTTCGGTGGGTCTGAACTGGAGTGGAGCTGGCATATTGGATGTGATCCTGTAATTTGGGCAGTTCTTCTGCTTAGTAAGGCCACAAGAGAGTGTGCAGGATCTTAAGTTTTCTCCCGAACCCATCCAGCGAAGTGGTGAACAAAGCATCTGGGCTCTCTCGACCCTGCCACCTTCCTTCTCCAGTTTGCTTTGTTCACCATCTAGCCCAGGGGTAAGCAAACTTTTCCAGCAGGGAGCCGGTCCACTGTCCTTCACACCTTGTGGGGGCCCGGACTATATTTTGGGAGAAATGAACAAATTCCTATGCCCCACAAATAACCCAGAGATGCATTTTAAATAAAAGAACACATTGTACTCCGGCTGCCAGCCGGATTGTGAAGGCAATTTGCCTTAGTTTGCCTACCCATGATCTAGCCTGCTGAACAATTCTGAGGAGCTCCAGTGCCTATGTGATGTTTTTGCCATTCCAAATAATAGCAAATGGTTCAGATTTGGATTTTGGATACTTTTCTTATGGTCCATTGTGGCTACATTTTATGCACATGGATGATAGTGTTCCTGTGGTGTGCTTAAGTGTGCTGCCTCCTGTGCTCTTGTTTCAGGAGCCATTGCAACATTCCTGTAAGGTAGGCCAGTATTATCTTTCCTGTCTTGCAGAGATGGAAGATTGAGTGAGTGTTGTTGACCGCTGAGTATGGTGAAAGGGAGATTGAAGCTGACTGCTTCCTGATTATTTGTTGCTAAGCTACATGGAGCTATGACACTTCTACCTTTTCTTCCTTATCTCTCTTTCCACATCCCCCAACATCCCTGTGTTTATTCTTATATACATTTCCAAGCCATTTTTCTGCCAGGGCACCCAAAGGCATATAGTGGCATGTGGTCTAAAAGACAAATACAGAATGCAAATACAGGAGGAGAAAAGAATACCTTTTCTTGGCAGGGTTTCTGTATCATCCTGAACCAACATTTTAATGCTTGGCAGATTATGCTTCCACCTTGCTTTACCAGCAACATCTTGACTTTGTGGCTTTTCATAATAAAACTTTTGGGATACTGCCCCTTTGCTTTTAGAATTTTTTTGAGACCAAAGACCTCAACAGGTGACACTTTTTCTTGACAGAGCTGCTGTGCCAGTGTTAAAGGCACTTGAAAGAATTAAAAGGTGGAGACATCAGGGGATTGGGCACTGTCAGATTTTTACATGGAACTGTGTATAACAGAGATTTTCAACCTTTTTGAGTCCATGGCTCCCTTGACCAGCTACATTCTTTCTACGGCTCCCCTCTGGGGAAACACGTTCTGGGTCTCAGAAGCCCAGTTATGTCACACCCTCCCTCGTAGAGTGTTCCCTCAGCCTCCTCTCCTCTCCCCTCTCCCTAGGAGTTCTCGGGGCAGCCGCCGCCTCCACCCCTGGTCTCTGAGCTCCCCCCCCCCAAACAAAGGTGCCTGCTCCCTGGCCTGCCCCAAAAGCCCCATTCGCCTCTGGAGCTTGTAGCCAGGGCTGCTGCAACAAACAGCCACACAAGCCTTTGGAAGGTTGAGACGCAAGAGGGCATCAGAGGAGGGAGAGAAGAAAAGAGGGACAGAGGCCAATGTTGCCTGTGGCACCCTGGCTATCATTCAAGGCACCCCAGGGGGCCACGGTACACTGGTTGAGAACCACAGGTGCATAGTATTGCGCTGGCACTGGGATTATTAGTCAGCCTGTAAGCCAATTTCCAGTGCCAGCTAGGGAGGCATGGGAAAAGCATTCATCTCTTGCACAGAACATGAATGCGGAGTGTTGGAGAGAGAGGATAGTAAATAAACCTTGTCCGTACAAAGGAGTCTGCTTCCTCTTGCGACCGATTGTGGTAGGGACTTTGGAGCTCCTAGATTTTAACTCTTCTACAGTTTTTGATCCACATGGAGAGGCTGCTGGATTTGACTTGGTGTATTTCTACATGTGCTAGTAATGTTGACTTCTGCAGGGTGGCTCTCTGAACAAAGGGGTGGATTGGTTCAGTCTCCTTTTTCCTGTGTCACAACACTGGCCTGATTACTGTGTGATGTCCCAGATACCCATAGTTTAGCTAAATTCCAAGGGAAAACAGTTAACAGAGGATAGCCTTTTCTGAAGCTGTCATCTGTGCTGGATTAGGGAAATCTTGTTGCCAGAAATTGGGAGGATGATAGTAAAAACGCTGTCGTTAGGGACTGAAAATATTCTGGAAATGTTCTCTCATCCTCCCCCCACCTCCTTCCTGCACATACCGTATTTACTCAAATCTAATGCTCACCTTTTTTGGCCAAATTACATTGCAAAAAATACGGTGCGCATTAGATTCGATGGCACATTTACATTCTCCAGCAAATCCTTTTTTTGTTTCAAGGTTCTGAAAATTGAGGTGCGCATTAGAGTCAATGCTGCATTAGACTTGAGTAAATATGGTAGCTGATGTCTTCTAAAAACATAGTTTTAGACAGGAATTTGGGGAGATGGGGAGAAGGAATTCCAGCTTTGTTCTGTTCCATACAATTTTCTCTTATATGAATTTCTTTAAATAATCTGTTAGTCCAGACATGCCTTCTTCATCCTGGTGCCCTCCAGATGTTTTGGGTTATGTTTCCCATCAGCCTGACCATGCTTTCTGGGGCAGATGAAAGTTGTACCCAGAGGGCAGCAGGTTGGGCAAAGGTGGTCTAGAATGACTCTTTTTACCTAGGCAAACCTTGCCTTGGATCAGCCTAAATATTTATCTGGGCCAGCAGTGCCTCTGATAGTATCTAATAAAGGGTAGTGAGCAAGTATTAGGAGATGCACTTGGGGGGTTTCACAGCTGACTACTTCCCCACCCCATGTGTGTCTTTTCCTTCTTCCCTCCAGTGTGACCCTTAAGTTCACTTTGTTTCAGCACTTCCAAGAAAGGCCACTCCCTGCCCCCTTTGTAAATGTTCTCAGAGATTTCTTGGAAAGGCACGAGCTCGATCTGGAACTCTAGGCCAAGCTGCTGTGGAAGACCAAGTGTCACTTGAATAGTTTTCAATACTGGGCTTCAGTTCTTTGTCACCCAGCTGCGTTGATACTCAGTATAAATAACTCCTTCATAGCATGCATTCCTGGCTCACACAACCCTTCCTTCAGAACAAGAACTCCGGGCAGAGAGGGAACATGCATGCTCTGTGCTGAGGAAGTTCAGTAAGGCTGAAAAGGCACTCAGAACGATCACTCTTTCTTTCAGATATGAGCCTTATTTGTCCTAAAAATGGGAAATGCCTGTATTAAAGGGAGTTGGCTCCTTTAGCGGCTTCATATGAGGTAGCTGTCCCGCTCTCACAGGCCTATTCAGAATCCCAGAATAGCACCACATGCCGGAACGATCTACTCCTTGCAAGCTCGCATTTAAAGTACGGTGGTACCTCGGGTTACATACGCTTCAGGTTACAGACTCCGCTAACCCAGAAATAGTGCTTCAGGTTAAGAACTTTGCTTCATGATAAGAACAGAAATCGTGCTCCGGCGGCGCAGCGGCAGCAGCAGGAGGCCCCATTAGCTAAAGTGGTGCTTCAGGTTAAGAACAGCTTCAGGTTAAGTACGGACCTCCGGAACAAATTAAGTACTTAACCCGAGGTACCACTGTAGTAACAAAAAAATACTCTTTTGCTTTAGAAGCACATGGACTTGCTTTGATTTCAGAGTTAATTTCCCCTCTTTTGCAAATACAGACAACTACCCTGTAGTTTATTCTGTGGTGCAGAAGCTTGCCTGAGGATGTCCCATAGGCTTCAAGGCTCAGCAGAACTTGAACTTGGTTACCTGTGTTCATATCTATCACACTGGCTGCCTTTAGTTTCTTTAGTCAATTCTCATTGTCCTCCACCCCCCTCAAACCCCGTCTACCAAGTAAATGAAGATGTTCTGTTAGTGAAAGATGAATTAACAACAATCCTATAAGCAGACACTGTACAGTTTCTTCCTGTCCTTTATTCTGCAGGATTCCCTTGTATGGATAGACAGTTAATGAAAGGTTTTGTTCTAAAGCAGTTGAAACACATGTTTTGGCAGTGAGAACTGTTTTGAGCTGTCACTTATGCCAGGCATCTCCCATACAGGTGTCAGGAATATGGTTAAAGTCCCTTTCCCAGTGCTTGTGCTTTTAGCACGGGAAACACAAGGATTTGCCAACAATATTGTACCGTAATATTTATTTATTTTCTGTCTTTAGAGAAGCATTCTGTATCATGCCAGTGAATCTGAGCACTGTAGTTAGGCCTGAACAACATAGACTATAAAATTAATCCCACCCAATCGACTAGAATGTGGTCTAACCCCCCCCCCCCTTAAATCCATCTCAACTAAAAGAAAATACCGTAGATTCCGGTGTATTAGGCGACTGGGCAGCTTCCTCCCGGCGTGGAGCCCACCGCCCACTGCTGCTGCCCAGCGAAGCTGTCACCGCTGCAGCAGTGGGTGGTGGGCTCCATGTTGGGAGGAAGCTGCCCAGCGAAGCTGGCTTAGCATCACTGGGCAGCTTTGTCGGTCAGCTTCCTCCTGGTGCGGAGCGGATCCCGCTGCCCACTGCAGCCATACCGGCGTATAAGACGACCCCCGACTTTTTAACCTCTTTTCCGGGGTTAAAAAGTCATCTTATGCGCCAGAATCTATGGTAACTCACCCTGAAACTCACTTACCAATGGTACCTAACACAAGGTAAACTAGGGCTGAGACGCCCAGGACCCTCACCAAAATGCTGGAGAGGCTGCACCTCCATAGGCACATACCTTCACATGTGGTGGTAATGTCCAAAAATCCAACCAGTCATACAAGAACACCAGTCATACAAGAAATATGCAAAATAAATAAGTAGGTATTAGAAGTCACCCCAGAACTGGCCTTATTCAACATTGTCCAAGTTAATAATGCCCACTCACATTATGCAGACCTCATAACCCACCTAATCTCAGCAGCCGGAAGCCTCATAGCCAGACACTGGAGAGACTTGTCAGGAGTAAACATGGGCAAATGATATCAAACAGTATGGGAAACGGCCTCTCTAGAAAAGCTAACCAATAAACTGAAACTGACATGGGGATAAATAGAAGAAGATGTTCTCACTCCAGTATGGTTCCCCTTCATCACATACACAGCCCAACAAGAATCTACCAACAGTGTACAAATCATTCTGGCTAACGACCAAAAAATCCACCCTCTCACACACATAAACAACTCTCACTACAGCCAACCAAAGACAACCAACCAAACTCTAGGCTACCCCCAACCTCTCTCACCACCAAGGAAACATAAGTGAACAGAAAGAGAACCCATACAAGTGACGCTGACACAAAACCCCACATATACACTAAGTAAAGAAAATAAGCATTACCACCTGACCCCACCCCTCTCACCATCCCCTCCCTCTTTCCCCTTCTTTTCTTACTGAGCTTATACTGCATGCAACACTCATGTCTCACAACAAATGTAACTGATCTGTAGAAAATGCAACTTGAGAAAAGAGACAATGCACATATTTTTTAAACTAAAATCTTCAATATTTTTTAAGGGAAGGATGTTATAGCATTCGTGTATGTCTATAGACTCTTGTGCAATTTTCTTGATGAATCATGAAGCATTTTAAATATTTTCGGCTTTGAATGCTGCTTGGGTAAAGCTATACTTTGTATCTGTTAAATGGAAGCAAAACATTTCTATTGGTTTCATAGTAGGACTGTTAAAAGATTGGCACAAGATATCAGATTCTGCCCCAATCTTATAGAAACTTTCATACGTTGGCTTATTGCACCAGCTACTGTCTCTTTCAGGAAACTGCCTTAAGGATCCCTACACTTGACTGACTGAGCTCAGGCAAGATGGGATTGGCAAGTCCAAATTAATAGGGACAAGAGGGAAATTACTAAGTAGTTAGGCTGCATAAATTTCAGGGTAATGATTTATTGGTTATCCCCACTCACTGTGGCTGTCTTCACTCTTGTAGAGTCACCTGCCTCTATCAGAGTGCAAGCTTATAAGCTTACAGGGAAAAGTGGCTTTCTTTTAGAATGGAAACCCACAGATGTAGCAAAGAGAACAGTACAGTCATACCTCTGGTTGAAGTTGCTTCAGGTTGAGTGTTGTCAGGTTGTGCTCCACGGCAACCCGGAAGTAACGGAATGCGTTACTTCTGGGTTTCGCTGCTCGTGCATGCGCAGATGGTCAAAATGATGTCATGCGCAGAAGCGGCGAATCACAACACGCACAGACGCGGGTTGCGTTCTGCTCTGGATGCAAACGGGGCTCTGGAACGGATCCCGTTCGTATCCAGAGGTACCACTGTACTCTGAAAAAATGGTATGTGAGAATCACCATGCACCAGAAATCATCGAAGTTGATTTCCTCTACTTAGCTTGGACATCCTCCTTGTAAACCCAGTGTGTTTCTTCATTTGCAAGGCACATATTGGGGAATGCCAAGAAAGGCACTTCCAATTTTTCATTGATCAGAGGCTGTTCTTGTGTGCTGCTTTATGCCGGTGTGGATAGCTGTTTCCTTGGCTTCTTTCTGTGTATGGAATTTTATGACTTGTATCATTCCCAAAACAAGATGATTTAAGTAGAAGATTTGGACATAATTCTCTTGGGTAGGTAAGCACCAAAGAGGTAAACTATACTTTGAGCACTGCTTCATATTAAATGTTGATGTTCAGGAGTAGGTGTGGTACATTGGAAAGGGTTCCCTCACAACACCTGGGCTTGTCTGACTCAAACAGTTCTGTTGAAGCGTTGCAAAAGTTATGTTTTTGATATGCAAGTTACATGCATATTGGTGGGCCCAGCCTACAAGCATCTCACTTACAGTGCATGCCAGCTGGCAGATGAGATGGGTGATGAATGGAAATATAATGTATTAGAAAAAGATGAGGTGGCAAGCACAGGAGCACAATCCTATCCCAGTAATATTTTTGGGCATCTTTGCTAGGGAACCCACAGAGAGTATCTGCTCTGAGGTGTTGTCAGCCATGCCTATTCCTGAGTGAACTCTAGATTAAAAGCAGGGTGTGCTTAACTGAACAAGGACGGAACAGGACAAACATGCCCCACCCCAGAGCCATTTGGGTGCAGAGTCCCAGAGGGCACTTTCCCACTCCCTCCTCACATTGCTTGCTCTTCATAACTCAAGCTGAATTGTCTTGGAAAACCTTGGTGCTGTTTCTGCCAGTTTTTGAAAGAAGCTGTTTTCCCTGAAGAGAGCATGTGTAGAGGTTGGCCTGCAGCTGTACTGAGCCCCAGTATAACTGCTTCCAGGTGCTTATACTGTGCCACCAGTTGTCCATATGAAGTGACTCTCCACCCACTATCTTTTGGCTTTTGTGCCTCTTGTCCATATGACTTGATTTTGGGTTAAACATTCTACAGAACATGTTGTGCACAGCCCCAACTTTTTACTCCCTTCCTGGCTGTGAAAGGAGAACTTAACTGGCACTAGGATCTTTGTATGAAAAGATAGTAGATTTGCCTATGAGCTGTGTGTGGTGTGTCCTAGGTTTAGGTAAACTAACTTATTTGCAACTTGGGAACCTTTAGTGCTTTGCATTATTAGGGTTAGTGTTGGAGGAAGGGAGGAAGAGCAGTGTTCTTGTGCTTTTAACAGTTGTGGCAGGCAGAATGTCAGCAGGTTAAGCTTGTTCTAGTATGGAAATACTAGGAACTTAGTTAGCATAACTTTTGATGACCTCCTTCTTTGCAGACCTCAGTAGTATGGAGGTCAGAATCCCACCATAAGGTAGAATAATCACTTGAGGGAGGGAGGCTTGTGCTCTGCGATGTTGTGGGTTGGAGAAATTTCAGTTGCAGGCTTGTGTACTATACTTACAGATATAGGAAGAACGTGTCTGCTAGATCAGGCCTAAGGCCAATGTAGTCCAGCATCCTGTTCTTGTAGTGACCAACCAGATTCCTTTGGGGAACCCACAAGCAACACCTGAGTGCAACAGCCACTCTCCTCGTATATTCCCTAGCAAGTGGCATTCAGAGGCATCCTGGCCATGACAGCTTTGAGGGAAATAACCTACTGTTACTGTGGTAACAACTTTTTTGTCAAGTTCTTCCTCAAGCTTCACTTTTTTCTGTGAAGCCTTTCTTCCCCAAGTCTTTTCTAACAACTGCAAAGCTAGCTAATTGCACTTACCCGTTGTCATCTGCTGCCCTTGCCTTCTTCCACTGTTCCCCTTTCTGTTAGACTTTAGATTGTCAGGATCTCATTTGCTATCAAACATCACCTACATTCAGTGGTGGAGCTTCATGCTCCACCGGGGTGGGGTGGAGAGCAGGTGGGGCAGGACTGGCGTGCATCCCGGGGGCGTGGCACACTGCCTGTGGGGGCGTGGTGCCCAGCGCAGGGCAGGGGGCAGCTGTGATGGCACCCCACCAGGATCATGCTGCCGGGGTGGTGCGCTCCCCCCGCACTCCTCTTCCTCTGCCAGTGCCTACATTAGCACTCTGTTAAAAGGTAGGTAGCTATGAGGGAAGGGATGCTTTCTAATGCTGAAATTCTTCCAGCTGCATTGGAGAGAGTGCAAGCTGCTGCTTTGGCTTGGAGGTAGGGCTTGCCATTTGATATGGGAGGTGCCTTTCATTCCTCCCAGGAAAGTCAATGAGTATTTGGCACATCAAACTTTATTTGAAAACATCATTTTCTGTCTGTCCTGGTGAGGACAATTTGCCCCCAGCTTGCTGCCAAATTCCTCACACATTTGAGGAGTTCCAAACAGGTACTAGCACCCTGGCATTTAAGAACCACACCAGAGGTTCCTGAAAAACAGTCAATATGTGCTGTCAAAATAGTATTTGCTTTAAGATGGCTGATGTGTGAGGCCTTTATTGCTTTTTCCTCTGCCCCTCATCATCACAGAACTTAGAATCACAGAATTGTAGAGCTGGAAGAGACCCTAAGGCTCATCTAGTCCAACCTCTGCAATGCAGGAATATGCAGCTGTCCCATATGGGGATTGAACCTGCAACGTTGGCATTATCAGCACCATGCTCTAACCAGCTGAGCTATCCAAGTTGATGTCATAAAATATATTTATAATTCAGAAAGTTTGAATTAGAGTTGGGTGAGGGGAGAGTTGAGGGTCAGCAGAGACTGAGCATTAATAATAAGAGCCTGTTCAAGACTGTTACCCCATTAAAACTGTACTATCTATTAACTACACTTCGATACAAATAGTATTTATTTATTTATTTATTTATTTATTCATTCATTCCCCCACCCATCTGGCTGAGTTTCCCCAGCCACTCTGGGCGGCTTCCAATCGAGTGTTAAAAACAATACAGCATTTAAAAACAATACAGCATTTTCAAATTAGAACAAAGAGTGGGGAAAGTATTTTCAAATTTGGTGCTTGATCAAGTGCTTGATCAAGTAACTGAGATACTGTAGCCTCCCCGCTTCCCACACTCAAACAACCACTTACCACAGGGGTCAGCAAACTTATTCATGAGGGGGCTGGCCCACTGTCACTCAGACTTTGTGGGGGGCCGGACTATATTTTGAAAAATATAAATACGCTGCAAGCCGGTCCCACAGCTGGCTCTGGACCTGGAGGAGGAACGCACTCTGCATGCGCTCAGAAGTGTGTCTCGCGCCGCCCGCCCACCGCTGTTGTTGACGAGCAGCAGCTGCTCCATTGGCCTTGGAGCTCCCAGGTGGCGTGCACCACGTGCTGCAGCCCGTCATCCAAGGCCAGGGGGGCGGCAGGCAGGGCAGGCAGCGCGCAGCGTGCCCTCCAGCTGCTCCAGTGCGGCTGCTGAGTGTGCCACCTGCAGCAGCGCCGAGCCGGACGCCAGGCATGGGGCCAGCAGGCGCACCAAGCTCTGGCTGAAGCCCTGCGACGTGCCCGTCACAATGCCCATGGCGTGGCCCAGACCTGCCACCTGCCCGCCGGCCTCTCCATCCATGGCTGCGCCGGGTTTGCCTCAGCGAACTTCCTGCAGCCAATCCGAAGCTGCGCCAGTGCCGCTGCCTGCCCAGAGGCATCCACGGCTTCGGCTTGGCTGCAGGAGCTTTCTGCAGCCAATCCAAAGCCATGCCAGCGTCGCAGAAGTCAGTCCCTGCGCGGCGAGGCATCCGCGGCTTCTTTTCAAGGAAATGCTGTGCCGTGCCAGTTTAGCTCAGTGTGGGGACTGACCGAGCGGGCAGCAGGGTCCACGGGCTGGATTTACGAGCCTGGTGGGCTGCATCCGGCCCCCGGACCATAGTTTGCTGACCCCTGACTTACTATAAATGATCAGGAAGGCTTTGTGGTTGGTATGGTATCTGATTTCCTAATCGATCAGTTATATTGCTATATTTGTTTTTGAACACACACACAATCACATATATGGGGTATATAGATTTTGCGCAACTCTGCCCAGATTTTTTTGTTTGACCCCCTCAGGACTCCTCTTGTGTTTTACTTGCTGGCTTTTGTTTTCTTCTACTTTGGGTCCTGATGTCTCTTAATGACTAGATTTAGCTATTATTGTAGAAGCCAAGTATGATAAGTCTGTTGTACCAGAAGAGCACTGTGCTGAAACTGTTTTTTTTTAAACCCTATAAAACCATAAGTAGCTCCAGCTCACTATAATTTTACAGTCTCCTTCCATATATTCCATGACAACCAGCAATTAGAATGAAATTGGATTGCCCTATTAGTAGCTTCATGAAACACACATGTACTATGTCCAAATGGCGAGGGTATAGCAAGAGGCATTCAAGGTGGCTGTTCTTCCCTCTGAACTCTCTCTGAAACATGGGCTTTTTTGTTTTGCAAAGAGGATATATGGGTAGCCTGGGATTAAACCAGTAGGAAGGTATTTAAATTGATTGTGTCACTCTGATGTATTTTATCTCTTTCAAAAACAAGTGGATTATCTGCTCCGCCACACAGAGCCTTGGAGGTGTAGTGGAGTGCTTGGACTGTAAATCTAGATACGTGTAATAGAAAGCACTTCTCACTAGTATTCTCAGCAAAATGTAGAAAAACCAAGCCTACCTAGGAACGCCCTGTGGTGGCTTGTTTTTGTGAATGTTCAGACAGCCTTTGTGTGTGGTTGAAAGTGCTGTTGGAATCACTTTGTCACAGAGCAATAGAGTAGGGGGAAAGTGAGTGTTGGAAACATGTTCACTAACTGGGAGCCTGCAAACCCTCAATTTGCGTTAAATACCATTTAGCTAGAAACATAGTTGAGTCTAGTCATGTGGTAGTTCCAAGCTTTTTATCTTTTCGCCAAGTTTGCTTTGGATGCTCCAAAGATTGCTTGCTCCATAATAATAAGAAAATAATAATAATAATAATAATACAGTGGTACCTCTGGATGCAAACGGGATCTGTTCCTGAGTCCCGTTCGCATCCTAAAGCGAACGCAACCTGCTTCTGCGCGAGTCGCGATATGCCGCTTCCGCGCATGTGCGCGATGTCATTTTGAGCGTCTGCGCATGCGCGAGTGGCGAAACCCGAAAGTAACGCATTCTGTTACTTCTGGGTCACCACAGAGCATAACCTGAAAATGCTCAAGCTGAAGCATATTTAACCCGAGGTGTGACTGTAATAATAATCCTTTATTTCATCTGTAGTTTCAGAACTAGTATGGTAATTCTAAACTGGGCAACCCTTGAACTCTGGATTTTTAGAGAATGTTGTGTTGGGGTTCTACCTTAACTACCTCCTGGATATTCTTACTGGGGTGACTGTGGCTAAGGCACTGGGTTGCCTGAGCCACAGTCTAGTGCTGAAGGGACATTGCTTGGTGGTAGAACATTTCTTTGCATGCAGAAACCCCCAGGACCAGTCTCCAGATAGAACAGGAAATGACTGTTGTCTGAAACCCCAGAAAGTTGTTGCCAATCAGTATAGACAGTAATGAGCTAGATGAACCCCAGGGTAGTTTTCCATGTTCTAGCTGTCTGTGCTGTCATGCCTTGGTTTCTGAACTTATTAAAACCAGCATACTAAAAAATACTGTACAGTATTATCTTCAACAGAGAAGCTAAGGCAGGGGTCAGCAAACTTTTTCAGCAGGGGGCTGGTCTACTGTCCCTCAGACCTTGTGGGGAGCCTAACTATATTTTGGAAAAAAAATACGAATTCCTATGCCCCACAAATAACCCAGAGGTGCATTTTAAATAAAAGGACACATTCTACTCATATAAAAACACCAGGCAGGCCCCACAGATAAACCAGAGCTAAGGTATGGGTAGGCAAACTAAGCCCCAGGGGCCAGATCTGGCTCAATCGCCTTCTAAATCCAGCCCGTGGACAGTCCAGGAATCAGCATGTTTTTACATGAGTAGAATGTGCGCTTATATTTAAAATGCATCTCTGGGTTATTTGTTGGGCATAGGAATTCGTTCATTTCCCCCCCAAAAATATAGTCCGGCCCCCCACAAGTTCTGAGGGACAGTGGACTGGCCCTCTGCTGAAAAAGTTTGCTGGCCCCTGAGCTAAGGCTTGATAGTTTCATCCTGTAGTTCCAGAACAGTTCTGCTGTTGGGCCGAGGACATCTCTTGACGCAAGGCTTAGCACACTGTGGTTCTGTCTGAGGAGGCCCGTTACCCAGAAACAAAACCTTACTACTCTTCCTAGGAAGTTACATGCTGTTCTAAACCTCTTGGTTTCAAGTCACTCTGAAGCATGTGGAGCCAAAGTCTTGTGGTTATGCAATTAAACTGCAGTCGTTCCTTTTGGGGAGGGAGGGTGGCTCCTGTTGGTCAGCTGGTTGACTCACTCCCTGTGGGGCGGGGCTGTGCGGCAACTTGCAGCTTGTAAACCACTGGGAGGGAAAATAATTATTCCATTCTAAATCAAGGGCAGCTATGGCACGACTATGGGGTGGTGGTGGGTTTTTTCTTATTTGCAAAAGCTGCAGAAGAGATATTTGGAAGCCAGAAACCTCCAGGCCATAGTTGTCAACTTTTCCCTTTTCTTGCGAGGAATCCTGTTTGGAATAAGGGAATTTCCCTTTAAAAAAGGGAAACGTTGACAGCTATGCTCCAAGCTGGTGTAGCTGTTTGCAAAGGCTTTGAAAACAGCATTGTGTATTGGAATACACAAACTTCTGGTGGTGTAGGCACAGTTGAGGTTAATGACCAGTTCATGGAATTGCTTATTCTGTCACTAAGTCACTGATCCAGCATGCTTCCCAGTTTGGAAGAGAAATCAGCATTTTCAGGGTTCACCCTTGCGCCAAAAGAGGCTTAGGTCAGTTGAAATTGAGGACTTGTATTTTAATGGCCCCAGCTGGGCTATCTTCTATTTCACTTGGGCTTGATGGGAAAAGTAAGCTATGGGAATAGTTCTCTGAATATTCCACACAACTGGAGTTAGAATCTTCCCTTGTTAATGCCTTCTTGGAATTTGATCTGATATCAGCCGAGATGGCCACCCAGAAGAGATGGGAATGTGGCACAACACAGTGATTGGGTTGGCAGCTGATTCCCTTGGCAGTCAAAAGCTGGTGATTGCAAATCAGTTGGGAGTAGGAAACAGTGTTAGAAACTCAGATAAATAAACTAGGTGCCAAATGGCTTCTTAAACCAAGGTTGCAATCGCCAAAATGGAATGTCTAGTTACCGTATTGGGGCCAGATGGCTCTAAAGTAAATTTTTTCAAATGATGGACTGACTGTGATTGATTCTCAGTTAAACATCTGGTTGGTTCAGATGTTTGAGCTTTGAGAACTTAAAGAAGAAAAGTCACTTGATTCGGGCACAGTCCACATATATATTCTGACCTCTCTTTTTTTAATGGTAACTGCTCCTGCTCAGGCTGCACAGAAAAAGCATTTTGGTTCCAGAAATTTATTCTGATAGTGCAGATAAAATATAACTGACATAATTCAACAGGGTGGGGTATTAGGGTGTGAAAGCATTCCAGATCCAATGATCCCCAGATGGTGGAGGTGCCATCCTGGCGCCCAGGCATCTTCACTTGGTCACAAGTGGTTGGAAGCCAGATGCAAAATGCACCTGGTGCCTGGCTAGTTTTGAACACTGGTAGGAAGGCAAAGGATGTAGAGGGGGACTTACATGCAGAGGATTGAAAGAACAACTTTTTATGTAAATGTCTTATTGCAATTTTTATAATAAAGGAAAACATTCAAATTGTTTGAAGAAAATAGGATAAAATATAAAAGAAGGAAATAAAAAGGGAAGGGGAAAAAAAGAATAAGGAGCATACAAACATAAAATGCATATTCATGTTCTCAAATGTTCTTTGCACTCAAGTAAATGATTACAGTTTCATTTCAATGAATTTGTAAAGACATTAGAAATTATCCTAAAGTATCCCTCAGTAACGATGCTCAGGTCAGTGGTAGCCTTCAATCATGTTACATTTGCAGCACATAAGAAAGAAAGGAAAAGCAACTTTCCTGGAAAGTGCCTTTTTTGTTGGTTGGATTACATCTCTGTCTCATTTGTTTAGATAGTTTTTCCATGAGGGCAGCTGTGAAAGGACAACTCACTGCATGACTGTTGGCTCACTGCTGTACCCTGCTTCCTGGATATTCCTTCATATTTATGTTGGTTTGAACTTCCCAAGCAGAAGTTCCCAAACATCTTTGCTTACTATGGGAAAGGCAAATTGCCTTTTCTGTCACCTTAGTCTCTGATGTCAGTCTTAAAAGGCTGGGTGCAGTTTTTTCCCCTAGATTGGTATAGAAAAAACAGGCATGTTCATGGACTTTTATGCCAAGCAATGCCTCTTCCTTTTTGTTTTTTGCTAAAGTCTATGTTGAGCAAGGACACAGAACCTGTGACAACTTCCCCCTCCCCCAGATCTTGTTGCTCTTGAATGTCCATCACTCATAAACCAACATGACCAGTGGCCAAGGGTGATGGGAGTTACAGGCCTGAAATTCAGTGTGGGGCTTCATGAGAGAGGGCATTCTCAGTCCAGGCTCCTCTATTATGGAATCTGCCCCCCCCCCCCAACAAGGCTGGTACACACTATTATGCATTTTGTGAGTTTACCCAGGCCTTTGGATTAATTATTGTTGCTGATTTGCTCTGAATGTTAACTCTTTTCATTATTCATTCATTCATTCATTCATTCATTCGTGTGTTACAGTGCTTAATGTAACTCTCTGGGATGCACATTTTTTTTAAAAATAAAGAGTGGGCTAAACATAGTTTAAGTACATAAATTAAATATGGGGGTGAGAGTAAAAGCTTGTCCATATCTGCTTGAGAGAGGAGAATGGTCTAATGCAGGGTTTCCCAAACTTGGATCTCCAGTTGTTTTTTGACTATAGCTCCCATTATCCCTAGCTAGCAGGACCAGTGGTCAGGGATGATGGGAGTTGGAGTCCTAAAGCAGCTGGAGACCCACGTTTGGGAAGCCCTGGTCTAATGGGCTGTATGGGAATGATGCTAACACACTGCCCTTTCCCACTTCCTTCCAGAACTCCATCCGACACAACCTCTCCCTGCATAGCAAGTTCATTAAAGTGCACAACGAGGCTACAGGGAAGAGCTCTTGGTGGATGCTGAATCCAGAAGGCGGCAAGAGTGGAAAGGCCCCACGGAGGAGAGCGGCCTCCATGGACAACAGCAGCAAGCTGGTCAAGCCCAGAGGAAAAGCTCCCAGGAAGAAGGCAGCCATGCCAGTGGCCCCGGAATCTACTGCCGACAGCCCAGGCTCCCAGTACTCCAAGTGGCCTGGCAGCCCTTCTTCCAGAAGCAACGAGGACTCTGATGTGTGGACCAGCATCCGGCCTCGGACCAGCTCCAATGCCAGCACCATCAGTGCAAGGCTTTCCCCCATCCTAACTGAGCCAGATGACCTTGGAGATGAGGCGCTTCTTCCATCCCTTGTCTACTCCAGCGCATCTAGCAGTGTCCCACCCACAGTGACAGAGGAGCTGGAACTCATTGACGGCCTGAATCTGATGTCATCAAGCTCATCCTTGCTGTCAACTCAGCAGCCTTCTCCAGGTGGTCTGGCACAGAGGAATCCCAGTTTCTCCTTGCAAAGCCAGAGCTCAGCTGCTCAGGCGTCGTCATTTGGCAGCTCCCTCTTCAACCCTGTTGATATCTCTCTACACAGCTCTGCCAGCCACTTCTCTGGCCCACAGACCCTGGAAGCCCTCCTGACATCCAACTCACCACCACCCAGTGATGTGATGATGACACAGGTAGATCCGATCCTCCCGCAGAGCGGAGGCAGGTTGAACAGCCAGACATTTCTGCTTCTGGGGGAGCAGTCCTCCAAAAACATGATGAGGCCAGTTAACCCATTAAGAAAGCCTCCGGAGCAGCAGCTGGAGTCGGTTGGCACTGCTTCCTTGCCGACTGCATTTTCAATGGCATCTCCTCAGAATACAGTCAGCCTGTCAGCTTTGAAGGCACCGGGCTCCACACAGCCTGCCCAGGCGGTCCAGCTGGGCACCCAGCCATTTCTGTCTGCAGCTACATTTGCCCCCTGTGGAGGCAATCAGGACAGATTGCCCAATGATTTGGACGATATGTACATGGAAAACCTTGAATGTGATGTGGATTACATAATCAACACTGACCTCATGGATGGAGAAGGACTGGACTTCAATTTTGAACCCATTCCATCTGCTCCCAGCTATCCCAACACGTCACAGGCCTCCAACCATACCTGGGTACCCAGTTAACTTCAGGATTGACAAAGGTAGGTGGATGTATGCAACCCACACTTCTCCAGCCTGGTGCCCTCCAGATGTTTTGCACTACAACTCCAATCCCTGCACTTTCCTATTTCAGATTGTCACAGGTTCTGAAAAGTCACAGTGGTGAGGGTTACCCCTACTATCAGGAGTGAGCCAGTAGTAAATCACATGAAATAAGTGAATTTAACTCTTTATTAGAAAAACAGCAACAGGATCTGCACAGGAGTGTCAGGCCTAATGAGCATTAGCAAGTTTTCTTTGGTTGCAGACTCTGAAGGTCCCTCCTTCCTAGCAGCTGCCTAATTCCTCTCCTCACCCAGGTCTCCCCAAGCAATCTGAGCCTGCACCTGCATGGCACTAATTTACTGCCTCGACCCATTATACCTGAAGGAGCATCTCCACCCCCATTGTTCAGCCTGGACACTGAGCTGCCTCCTCCAACAGTCTTCTGTTGGTTCCCTCACTGTGAGAAGTGAAGTTACAGGGAACCAGGCAGATGTCAAGGAGATAAAGAACTACATAACTTTTAGAAGACCTCTGAAGGCAGCCCTGTATAGGGAAGTTTTTCGTTTGATATTTTACTATGTTTTAGGGACACGGGTGGTGCTGTGGTCTAAACCACAGAGCCTAGGGCTTGCTGATCGAAAGGTTGGCAGTTCGAATCCTGTTCGAACTCCTGTTGCTCGGTCCCTGCTCCTGCCCACCTAGCAGTTCAAAAGCACGTCAAAGTGCAAGTAGATAAATAGGTACCGCTCTGGCGGGAAGGTAAATGGTGTTTTCATGCACTGTTCTGGTTTACCAGAAGCGGCTTTGTCATGCTGGCCACATGACCTGGAAGCTGTTTGCGGACAAACGCCGGCTCCCTCGGCCTATAGAGCGAGATGAGCGCGCAACCCGAGTCGTCCGCAACTGTTACCTTTACCTTTATATATGTTGTAAGCCTCCCAGAGTGACTGTGGAAACCCAGCCAGATGGGTGGGGGTTATAAATAATAAAATTATTATTATTGTTAAAAAAAAAAAATTCTCCTCCACCCTCTTCATGCCTCTCCTGGTTCTGGGAGACTGGGGCGGGGGGAGGTTGCCACAGCAAGAAGGGGAAACAGACATCTGTGACTCTTCACCAGCCTGACTCATCTCTGCGTCTTGGCTTCCCTCAACCCACTCTCCTGCTTCAGCTTCAGCTTCAGCTTCTGCCTCTGAGTCTGGACTGCTCTCTGCCACAGACTCTCCCAGTTCTCTAAGCCCTGTTACCTCTTCAGCTTCCAGCACCTCCTTTTCCCCATCTTCTCCCTCTCATCGCCATCCCACACCAATTCCTGGCTCTGAGGCTTTTACCATTGGAAGTTCTCCAGCTGGTTCTGCCCACCATTCCTCTACATCCAATCAGTTCCTGACACCTACACAGGGCTGAAAAATAATTCAGGTATTGAGGTGCTGAATCAGAATCTCCAGCTTTGGTTTAATCCCACCAGCTGTTCTGCCATAAAGTGATTGCCTGGTCAAGCTAACAAACCGTGAGTGCTTAATACCTTAGAAAGTGTGAGGAACACAAGGAGTATGATATAATAATTCTCCATTCCATCCATCTCAGCATCTTTTTGATCTTGGTGCTGCTGTTAATATGGGCAGCACTAGCTATGACATTAAATTAATTTATTACATTGAATGTGTGCATTCTTTAAATACATAAAACCTAAATAGCCGTTGAGGGACCCATGAGAAGAATTTGGTCTAGACTAGAGCAGGGGTGGGGACATGGGTGGCGCTCTGGTCTAAACCACTGAGCCTCTTGGGCTTGCTGTTCAGAAGGTTGGCAGTTTGAATCCCCGCGACGGGGTGAGCTCCTGTTGCTCGGTCCCTGCTCCTGCCAACCTAGCAGTTCGAAAGCACGCCAAAAGGGGCAAGTAGATAAATAGGTACCGCTCCGGCGGGAAGGCAAATGGTGTTTCCATGTGCTGCTCTGGTTTCACCAGAAGCAGCTTAATCATGCTGGCCACATGAGCCAGAAAAACTGTCTACGGACAAACGCCGGCTCCTTCGGCCTGTAAAGCGAGATGAGCGCCGCAACCCCAGAGTTGGCTGTGACTGGACCTAATGGTCAGGGGTCCTTTACCTTTTAGCGCAGGGATAGTCAGCCTTTTTATACCTACCGCCCACTAAGGCATCTTTCTTGATGGTAAAATTTCCTTACCACCCACCAGTGCTCGATGGAAGGAGGATTCAGTTTGTGCCATAGAACCCCCTACTACCCACCTAGAATCCTGAAACGCCCACTAGTGGGCGGCAGGGATCGGCCCATGGCAGCCACTTTGTGTGGGCACCCCACAGCACTTTTTTTGGTGTTTTATTTAGAAAAATAGCAAACCAATAAAGTTCTCAGTAAAAGCTGTTAGCAACAACTATTTAAAACATTCAAACACGATTGACATAAACAATAAAAAGAAAACAGAATAAAGCATTATGCATGTCTGGATAGGCTTGCATTACCTAACAAAAATGCTTTAAGGAGGTGCTGAAAAAAGCTCCCTGATGTCTGTAGACAGGGAGTTCCAAGGCCACCCACCTGCCATATGGCATCAGACAATTCAAAGTTACAGCCAGAGGAGCAGGCACTGGCTTATTGCCAATCTTAGTACTGTAGTCCCACAGTGCTATGATTGGGAGAAGCGTTTCTGCTAGCTTTTCAGTGACAAAAAGCTGCCGTTAAGGCTTATATCCAATCTTAGCACCACATCCCTAACACTGGAGATAACCTTATTGGATCACAGCACTGTGATGCTAAGCTCTAAGACTCAAGAGCTCCCTTATTTCCACTCTTGGCACTTAGGATGTAGGTAAAAGGTAAAGGGACCCCTGACCATTAAGTCCAGTCATGGATGACTCTGGGATTGCGGTGCTCATCTCGCTTTGCTGGCCGAAGGAGCCAGTGTACAGCTTCCAGGTCATGTGGCCAGCATGACTAAGCTGTTTCTGGCAAACCAGAGCAGTGCACGGAAATGCCGTTTACGTTCCCGCTGGAGCGGTACCTGCTTATCTACTTGCACTTTGACGTGCTTTCGAACTACTAGGTTGGCAGGAGCAGGGACCGAGCAACGGGAGCTCACCCCGTCGAGGGTATTCGAACCGCCGACCTTCTGATCAGCAAGCCTTAGCCTCAGTGGTTTAACCCACAGCGCCACCCGCGTCCCGTATCTCCACTCTTGGCACTTAGGATGTAGATCAGATCAGATAATAAATCTCCACTATGCATGTAAAGTGACTGCCAGCTGGGCATCATTTGACCAAAAGGGCCTTGTGGGCCAAATTCAATGGTCTGGCAGTCCTAATTATTCATGTAGGCTGAACATCGCCAACTGTGGCAAAGATGGAAACTGACCAATTAAGAAATGCTTTTATTTAAGGGTCAGCGTATTGTGGACAAGCACATAGAAATTACTTTGCCTTCAAAAGTGTGCCATGTGTGGCCTAAAAGAAAAAAAAAGTCAACCTTTGTAAAGAACTTGTGAAGCTGTCTTTTCAGATTCATTGGAGAAAATCCACTATTGTCTACTCAGAATGGCTGCAGTTTTCCAGGATCAGACAGAACTCTTTCCCAGCTGTGCTGCCTGAGAATTCTTTACCTGGAGGTGCTGGGGAATGAGCCAGGGCCTAATGCATTCCATGCATTCAGTGCGCTATCATTTTGCAAGGGCGCTTTCCATACTTCTCTGCCTGATCACCTGGATGCAGTTACTACCACAGGCAGTAAGGTGACTGACAGGCTGTTTGTAGACTCAGAACAGTAACTTCTCTGTAGCATTGCTTTCATAGATTTAGTGCCTGCTTCGGTCTTCAAGACAGTATTGCTAGCAGACCATTTCACATGTTTGATTCTGTTTCATACTTATTTTTGAGGATGACCAGGACATGGCAGAGAAGATGAGCTAATCCTCTCCCCCTCCCTCCTGGCCCAAAACTAGGGTAACCAGAAGTGTACGATACTTGTGGCCATATGACAGATGTGATGGGCAGCTGTGAGCTGTCGCTCTGTCTCACACCATCCCTCATCCCTTCCTTGAGTTCTGCTGAACTCTGATTTCTATTGCCATGTGCAGATAAAAGGGTTGCTTTGGATGGAAGGTGCTGATGGGCAGGAGGGTGCATATATGGAAGAAGGAGACTTCAAGGAAGTTGGAGCAGAAATGATACTGACGGCAGAATGAGCCTACGTAACAGGATGCATTTGAGGCCTTGAACCAAGAGGTGAAAAGAGTCTGGGTGTCCAAGAGGTTGTAGTAACACAATGCACAATCCCTGGGGCTTTGGGGCTAGAAGCAATCTGACAGTTGTGGATTAATATGGAGCCTCTGTTGGGGGCAGATTAACCTACATTTGCCTGGTGTGGGAGTCTTGAAGCTCACAAACCTCTGTGGATTCAGGCTTTGGCTCTAAACTGGGAATCAGACCTTCAGAAATGGAGGTGCTCAAGGAACAGTGATACTAAATATCTGGAAACCGGAGTTCCCTCAAGGCTGGATGTTTCTTACTCTGTTGTGTGTATTTTCTGTTGTACATCCATGCGCAGTAGTGCACTAAGCATCTTCTCTCTCCCCCCTCCCCCCACAGTGCCCTTCTGGTCCTGGAGTTATTGCACTCCCAGAGGAGTCTGGAATGCAAGGAGCACCTGGTGTCCGTCTTACTGTTCTGCAAACCAGCTGGAAGCAAGGGCGAAGCAAACGGCAACTGGAAGAGAGAGAGATCCTGTTAAGTGCCACATCTTTTCCTGAGCCTACTGTTAAGCCCTGCAAGCCCCATCCAGGAGCCTGAGAAGAGGCCCAGGAAGTGCTCCACCCATGGCCAAAGACACTTCCTGCCCTTCATAAGCATTCTCCGGATTGATGGGGTTTTGGCCTGCCCGCGATAGGTCAGAGAGCTGTCTGAAGGGGAAGGGCTTTGAGCTGGCATCACCCCTCCAGCTGATCTCAGCCTCAACTCCCCTTTGACTTGACACCCTGTGGATGGGGTGAGAAGATAGTCTGTGAATCATGTGGCTGTCTGAGTTGAGAAGTCCCTCCCCTCTTGAGCACTTCCCTTGTTCCTTTTCTGATGGGAGCAGGTGGTGGTGGTGAGGAGGAGGAGGCTGAGGGAAGTAAAGTTGCCCTGTTTGGGGTGGTGGTGGTGGTGGGAAGCTGTAGAACTCATTATTGACTGTGCACCTGGCCTACAGGTGCCTTCTGGAAGTTAAGGCCCGGTCTGACCTTGTGAAGCCCTCACCTATGTGTTCTTGGGCAGCTCTTCCCCGAAACAGTGGCTCCCCCAAAGCAGGCAAGCAGGTGCTAAAAGCTGTTGCTAAGAAACCAAAATGACTTCTCTTTGGGTCCGTTTCTGGGCTGTTTTGTGTTGCAGCTGAGAAATGGAAAACCCATATCTGGCCTTAACCGGAGCCCTGATCTGCATTTCCCTTTTTCTAGTCCAGAAGGGCATTTTTCTACAGATGAACTATTTTGGAGGTTGCTTTTTCTTCTCCTCCCCCTGACATGGGCAGAAGGCAGGGCTTTCTGTGGCAGCCTTCAAATTGTATTATTTGTGTCTCTGTATTATGAGTGCCTTTCCTTCCCTCAGAGATGGCGCTACTGGCAGTAGCTGTTGCTTTTCAAAACTGCATCAAGAACAATGTGGCAACTCCTTGGGTGCATTTGCTGGGGGGTGGGAGTGGGAATGGGGAGAGAAGGGCACGGAAGCAGCTTTTGTTCTTTGGAATTGGGGCAGGTGGTGGAGTTGCACGTTATAGATAATTACCTGCAAAGCTAGCAGCAGATTAAATAGAAGCTTTTGTAAACCTTGGCGCGGGGTTGGGAAGAACTGTCTATATTTTAATGCAGAATCCTATGACGTTATTGGCTAAAAGTGCAGCCTGTTTTCTTGCAGCTTTACACCTTTTGATACCAGACAAAACTCTAAAGCACACAAGGCCCAGGGATGGGTCTGAAGATGGGATTATGGGACAGCTACCCTGCTGGGGGGAGGATGGGGAGGGGTCCTCCTTTCAACCTTGTGCTTTTCAGTAGCTAATTATGAATTGCCAGCAGGACATGTTGGGGTCCTCTAAGCCTTAGAATAGCTGGGTCACAGCTGCCACTGTGGATGCCTTTTGAGCCCTTGCCCACTTTGTGCAGAGCCCTGGCAGAGCGGTGGCTGGCTCAGGCCCACCTCTGCTGAGCAACTGTGACGGCCTTGGGTGGGTTGTCTGCTGTGAGCTTTCGCTGTTAAGCTTGGGAGGCAGAACAAATAAAATAACATCTAGGATTCTGAGGGTTGGGGGACCACTTTATTGCCATGAGAAAAGTACCGTGAGGAACCAGGGAAACTCTAGAGGAGATCTGGTAGCTCCTTGGATAGATGGGAGAATTAAGGGTGTCAGAAATGGGGACTGTGGGTGGATTCCTGTCTGGTATGGACCCGCTCAGGAAAGGGGTGATATTTGCAGGCTATTCTTTCTGCCCTGGGCATGTTATGTTTGGAGTCTCACTTGAGCTACTGTAGGCGGGTGGGAGCAGGTGAGGCTTCAGCCCCCCGAAGCACTCTCAGGAAGGGCAAACAGCACAAGCCTTCTCTTCAGCCACTTACTTTCTAAAAAACTTTCCTCAGAGCCTTCCTTAGGTTAACAAAGGTCCTTTGTGGTTAGCACAGGGCAAAGGGTGTGTTCTGAAGCACATGTGCAGAATATGTCAGCTAGGGAGGCATGACTTGAGGAAGCACCCACGCCCCCCCTGCTTGCAGCAGCAGCCCTGGTCCTTGGTAGCACGCTCTTGCCGTTTCCTGCTGTGACCTCCAAGCGAGTCACACTAGGTGTTTGCAGGTTCAGCCCAGGCCCTGTCACCTCCCCTAGCTTAGAATGGCACTCCTGTCCTCTCCCAGCACACATGTAGAGCAGTTCCCTGACAGCCATTGCAGTAGTAGTAAGCCTACCTTTAAAAATGAGGGAAGCCAGCAGAGTTGAGCAGCAAGTGCTACGCAGTGGCAGGAACTAACCTGCTTCTGAGCCAGGGTTGCTCAGGGAAGTCCCCTGCCTCACTTTGCATGGCAGGCCTCAGCCAGGTTGGGCTCGGGGAAGAAGCATAAGGAACATGAAGGACTACATCCTCTAACTTAGAGTTGGTTAATTGTGTAGGAACTGCCACTGCTCTGCTTCACTTCTATGCCTAAGGTGGGCTACATCAAAGCCTTAGGGCCGTTCACACTAAAAAAGGGGTCAGTTGGTGATCTAAAGTACACGAAGGATGAACTGATCTGCATTAAGCAATTGTGAGCAGCCTCCCAGAACCCCTTGCTTCTTGTTGCCTTTTCCTCCCCAGCTGCTTCAGAGGACTCCGAGTAGGAAGGTGGGGCTGGCTTTGGTGCCTCAGAATAATTAAAAATGAAGGCAGCAGAGTTGTGGTGCAGTGGTAGAATGCATTCCTCTTTGCTGATCTTGGGCTCCTGCTAAGTTAGCTTGTCAAACAGTCGGCGGGGAAAGCTTTGGCGATTTGGGAGCAGCAGGGTGGAAGCTACGTGTTGGATATTTGTGCGTCTCTCAGGGTGGGCTTCTGCGGCCTCTTCTCCCCAGAAGTAATATCTAGACACAGCAGGTGACCTTCGGCTGGCCTCTTTCCAGGACAGACCTGTGGACTCCATGGGCAAAGAGGTCCATGCTGTGTGCCTGTTCTCCTTGGACTGCTCTGGCACAGTTGATGGCTTAGGGAGAAGCTGGTTCAAAACAGGCTTTTCCCTGTTTCTCCTGAGGAAGTGATCCCTCATGCTAATGCTCTATTTTGCTTTTGTCCCTTTTGTAACCCGCTTTGAGGTTTTTTCTACAATCAAGCGGTATATAAATTTTATGAAATAAATAATAAATAAATTGTAGCAATACAGTCTCTACCAGCGATTCCCCCCCCCCAAAAAAAAACTGTTTGGAATGTGCTGGAGGTCAAAACGTGACAAATAAATATCTATAATCTCTATTATCTGCCAGTGTCATAGCATTTCTTGCTTCCTATCCCTGTAACTAGTCAGGAAACGGGGATTCTGGTGAATGTGTCTGCCAATTGAGTATGGGAGAAGCTTTGACCCCGTGGCAAAGGTTGCTGTGCTGGGTGCGATCATCTTGCCTGCTGGTCTGGCCCTAGTATTGGAGATAAAAGTCCATGATTCAACACATGCTGGTTGCAAAGCTTAAGCCTGGGGCAAGTTATGGCACAGCGACTGTGTCTGAGCACAGTGTGGACTGCATTTGCCACACCGGTCAGTCCATGCAGTGAGTCTTCCCCTCACCACAGGTGTTAAGTTGGAGGTGGGAGCTGCAAAAAACAACAACAAAAAACAGTTATGCCATGTGAGTAAGGATCATAAGTTGGCCTGCAGAAGGGCACATCTATTTAGTTCAGGACTTGCCTCCCAAAAGTAGCCACCACCCAAGTACTCTCATTGTACAGGGAGAACCAGCTCTGTCTGTTCTGATGGTGGAAGTTCTGTTCTTTGCTAGTCTGCCTAATAGCTGTTACTAAACCTATTCCTCAAGGGAATAGTTTGTGCGTGTTGCATCTGGCACTCTCCACTTCCACCTGGGAAAGGAGGTGGGACCTGCTCCAGCTCTAGCTCCAGCTTCACCCAGGAGCAGCTGAGAGAGAGCTGCTTCTGAGATGGGCTTGTTGCTTGGCTTGAGAAGGAGCCGAAAGCCAAGTGCAGCAAGGAAATCCAACAGATTAGCCACTTCTGGGGGCAGTGAAGTGAACAGTTGATGTATTTTTGGAAGAGAGAAAACCCCACTTATTAAAGGTGGAGAGCGGAATTATCAACATATTGAGTGACTTTGCCAGTGGCCAAGCTCCCAAAAGTGTTGGCAGCAGTGATTCCATTCCTTGGATATACAGTGGTACCTCGGGTTAAGTACTTAATTCGTTCCGAAGGTGCGTACTTAACCTGAAACTGTTCTTAACCTGAAGCACCACTTTAGCTAATGGGGCCTCCTGCTGCTGCTGCTGCTGTGCTGCTGCTGCATGATTTCTGTTCTCATCCTGAAGCACTTCTTAACCTGAGGTAATATTTCTGGGTTAGCGGAGTCTGTAACCTGAAGCGTATGTAACCCGAGGTACCACTGTATAGTGAAAAACCATTTTGCAAGCGCCCAAAAGCTACCCAGCAAGCCTTTTCGTTTTTTTAAAAAGCAGTGAAATAACTGCCTTGTGCCATCGGCATGATTTAGGCTAGTGTGACAGCAATGTTGGTTTGCTCTGCTGCCTGTAATTTCTCTCTTGACAAACTGGGAAAGGGGAGGGTGCAAGCAGGAACACGGAAGAGGAGCCTCCCCTCCTGCTTTGTGGAGTAAACGAGTGAGCAGCTGTGGTTCAGCCAGCAGCCGATGACTCCTTGGGGCAGGCTGCATTCCAGCACAGAGAGCTTCTCTTTGTAGGCCAGCACATTCCATTTTTTTCCTCCCACCAGCAGGACTGGGAGCAGCCTCTGCCTGCTGCCTCTGTCAAGACAGCCGCCTGCTCCCTGTGGTAGTCAAGGTAGGTAGCTGCATTTGCCTGTTCCACCCTCAGGAAGCTGAGCCAGCTGTGACCTACTGTCTGGTGCTGTACATAGCCAGATGGAGCCTATGCAGGTCTGTGGAAAACATGAGCTCTATAGACTGGTCTGATCACTCAAGTCAGCCAATCAATGTCTTATCTGCAAAGTTGCTTGCTGTATCCTGAGGTGCTTTTAAACCTCAGCATTTTGCATAAAGAAAAATAATCCTAAATCATGCTAATACAGAAACTTTGCTCAGTTAAGTGTCAGTGTAGCCAAGGAAGGGGCCAAGAGCTGCGTATGTTACTGGGGGAAAAGAGTTAAAAGTGGGTATTTGTAATGGAATACTCCTGCAGGCCCCATGGCCGCCTCCGGCAACTGGAACACAGCATTCCTGGGAAGGTGTTCTGGGACTCACAGCTGCTCTCTTGTGAGCACCCGGTAGCAGAGTAAAGCAGCGCAGACAGAGGTGAGGAGGTATCTGGGCATACCTACTTTATTTCTACCGATTACAGATTAAAGAACATAACAAACAATCATAACATGTATGAGAGGAGCAGCCCTCATACAGACATCCTGTCTTGTCGCAAGACAGAGCCAGAGCAGAAAGAAAAAGTACAATACTGTAGTACCAGAGACAGAAGTCACACAGACAGGCTTCCTTTCTCACGGAACAGAAAGTAAACAATAGGATCAGATGATCCTTAAAATGGGAGGAGTGAAATACTAACAGTTTGCATACATTCTCCTCTTATTTTACTTATACTCTGCAGTTTAGGTCAAGGATGGGGAGCCAGATGCTGACCTCCAACTTCCACCAGCCCCTGTAAGCACTGCCAGTGGTCAGGGATAGCGGGAGGGAGGAACTCAGAAACCTCTGGAGGAGCACAGGTTCTTCATCCGAGCCTTAGACACAGGAAAGGAGACAGATGGGTTTGGGGGGAATAGCTTGATGGAAGGGATGGGGAATGTGACTTTTTAGTTGCTGTTTGACTCCCAGCTCCCATCTGCCCCAGCCAGCCTGTCTGCTGCCCAGAAATGATGGGAGTTAGAGGAAGATGGAATCGGGATTCAAGATGACCTGCACAGATTGGGGAACTGGACAAAACAACCAACCAACATGAATTTCAGCAGGGGACAAAGTCAGGGTTCTGCACTTAGGCAGGAATAATCAGATGCACAAATATAGGATGAGGACATCTGGTTTGACAGCAGCACATGTGAAAAGAATCTAGGGGTTAAACTTGGTAGACGTCAAGTTTAACATGAGTCAACAGTGTGGTGCAGCCGGGGGGGGGGGAGGGAGCCAATGCAATTCTAGGTTGCATCAAGAGAAGTCTAGTGTCTCAATCAAGAGAAGTAATAGTTCCAATCTCTTCTGCCTTGATCAAACCACACCTGGAATACTGTGTCCAGTTCTGGGCGCTACATTTTAAGGACATTGACAAGCTGGAACATGAGCAGAGGAAGGTGACCAAGATGATAAAGGGTCTGGAAATCAAAATTTGTGAGGAATGGTTGAGGATGTTGGGTATGTTTAGCCTGGAGAAGAGAAGTCCGAGAAGTGATATGATAGCTGTCTTCAAATATCAATTAAGGGCTGTCACATGGAAGACTGAGCAAGCTTGTTTTTTGCTGCTCCAGAGCATATGACCCAAACCAAACTGCAAGAAAGGAGATTCTGACTAAATGTTAGGAAGAACTTTCCGGTGGTAAGAGCTGTTCCATATTGGAACGGACTACCTCAGAAGATGGTGGTTTCTCCTCCACTGGAGGCTTTTAAGCAGGTTGGATGGCCATCTGTCAGGGATGTGATTCCTGCATTGCAGGGGGCTGGACCAGGTGACCCTTGGAATCACTTCCAATCCTACAGTTCTGTGATTCTATCCTTGGTTAAATACAGAGGAAAGGCCCCTTTTGCACATGAGTACAAAAGGCCCCAAGATGGCAACCCTGTCATTTCTAGTTAAAAGGGTTAGGTCCTAAGCTAGATGGATAAATAGTCTGACACGGTATAAAGAAGCATGCTATGTTCTCTGTGCTTGGATGAGAATAAGGTTTTTCTCTCCTCAAAAGTTCCATGATTGGTGGTTGCAAGCAGCAGCAGCAGCAGCCCTTCCAACAAATCAGCAGTTATTGGAGATGCGGTGCCACCTGGTGGTCAAGAATTCCAGGAGAGATTTCAACTCCCACCCAAACACAATACGCAGGACATTCTCCATCTGGCTGGCCAAGGACATGTTTTCACTTATGTGAGCACTGGTACAGTCTGTTATAGTTAGCGCTTTGGCTGCTTAAGCAGTAGCCCATCTCTGCTTGAGGTTAAGTGGTAGCACATTTTGGCAGAGCTGTAGCTCGTACAGCTTTTGACTTCAAGCCTTGTTTGCCTCTGGAGCTGCATTATTGCTTCATTCCCATTGTGCCATTGGAGTCAGTTGCGTGACACCTTGCCCTTAGCAGCTACGCTGAAAGTTCAAATGGGTCTTAAGGGCAGCCAGATAATTGTGTGCCCTTTCCGTGAGACGTCTGCTGCTGCTGCTGTCTGAACCTAAATACCTCCTAGAAGCACTGTGGAAAGTTTCCTGTTAAGCGGGTTCAGATTCCATGCTAAGCATTTAGTATATAGTTTCCTCCTTTAAGCTGCGCCATCCTCTCCTTCACCCCAAGATCTTTGCCCATACCAAAGCAACATTTGCAAGCCTGTGTTTTTAATAAAACTTGGACTGCAACCTCATTACAATTTATTTAAATCAACTCACTTCCAAAGCAGGTTAATTAATCAGCAAACTAAATCTGCACACCAGTAAAAGTGTTTTGAAAACAATAAGTATGCTTTCCCTCTAGAAGAGAAATTGCTTCTTAAGATGGTGCTTTGTCACAGGAAGCGCTTTCATAAAAATAAGCCTACTGCCCAGTTATGCAGGTGTGTAAGTCCTATTAGCAGAGACTTAGGGCTGCAACATTTTTTTCAACTTCTGATCTTTATCAAAACTGCAGCAGCTCCTTCAGCTTATTAAAAGAACCATGGTGAAGTTTCAATAAAAGATCCTTTCTTGTGCTTGATGCAGCATCCCTCAAGGCTGTCTGAAAATCTGCAGCCAAGAAAGGAACCTCTTTCAAGCCCTTGGTCTCAGGAACAAGTAGGAACTATCTATAGCACTCTGTACCTACAGAGAAACAATATTTTCACATGCTCTGCGGCCAAACCTTGGTCTTGTAAACTGGTTCCAGGCCCAGATAAGCTGATGGGCAGCAACTTTAGCCTTGCCTTTTTGTGGGGATTGGTGGCACAAATGAGTTCTGCACAAGGAACCTTGCCACTTGCCAGACTGGGAGTGCTGGGCCCTTAGAAGTTGGTCCCTGACACAGCAAAGGAGGGTGTAGCATGGCAATGTATGAGGTAGTTTACTGAACCTCCAGGAAGCATTCTGCAGTTTTTCACACCCTGCATATTTTGGCTTGGTTCTACTTTAGGGTACCGTAGGGTACACACAGGGAAGAGCCTTGGGGTTATGTGGTACCCATGGTTTACTGAAACGAGTGAAGATCACAAACCACAGCTTGAAGCTGGCTTCTCTCAATACATCACAGTTAATACCACAGTTTGTCCACCTTCAGGTATAAAATGAAAAATTGCAGTTTAAAGTGGAAGCAGGTGCTTGGCACAGCTACAAGGTGATTGGAGAGGATGGGGGAAGTGTACGAGCCTGAGACTTGTAAATGCTTTTTTTTTTTTTAAACAAAGTGATGTTTATTCAAAATGTGGTTGTTAATTCTGGTTAGCAAACAAAACACTACTGTGCCGCTACCACCAGAGCTATACCTGGAACCTCTTTTATTCAACATGTCAAAAGACTAAGAAGTTTGCTCTTCCCAATAAAAGACACAGTTTTCTGAGAAGAATTCTGCAAGGGGTTCTTGAGCAGGGGAAAGATCTCAAAGTATCTTTAAAAGTATGCCTGTTTGGCTAGAAACACAGGTAGAACAGATTCATGGGGAGGGAGGGGGTGCCTCCCTTCCCTACAAGGCACTGTTGCACAATGAGATACAGCAGGCTGGCACTTTTGACACAGACAAAGCAGGTTGGGATTTGGAAGGGATGGCGTCACTCTTGTGGAGAGGCTGGCGCTGGGCTGATCAACTCTTGCATATGTAATGTTAAGCAATGGTTTAGTGTAGCTCTGTGCTAGATCACAGCCTATAGCAGCCTTCACCGAAGTGGTGCCTTCCAGCTGTTTTGGATTACAACTCCCATCTGGCTGGGGCTGATAGGAAGTGCAGTCCCAAATTGCTGGAGGGCACCAGGCTGGCAAAGGCTGAATGAGAGCCATGTTTGAGATGCAAAGTGTCTAGCTGCAAAAAAGCATGTACTTTCTCTCCGTCCTTGTCCTCCACACCCCTGGAACAAGAATTGCAGCCTGACTCAGCTTTCTCAAATCATGCAGGGTGTTTTATTGATAACAGTTTCAGAAGCACGTAAGAAAAAAGAACATTTCTATCACCTCCCAGACCAGGGACAACACTTAAACCTTCAGATGGAATCTCCAGTTCTTTGCCACAACTGGTACAGTCCTTTCCTGGCAGTTTCAGGATCTAGGCCATGCTGAGAGAGATGATTGCAGGATAATTGCAGAAGTCCTGCTGTGCTCCCCAGAGGCTATGTGGTGGCTGTGCCTCTTGGCTCCAGGGGGCAGAGGCCCCCACAACCAGGTCTCAGCAACAGCCAGAAGCCATCCCCAGAAAAGACATTTTGAAAGGTGACAACTGCCCTGCCCATTCACCAATGGGAAGGACAGGGCCTCTGCTCTGTTTGTGCTGATATGTCACTCAGACAACAGGCTGTGGATCTTTGTCAGGAGCACATCTGAGTCATAACCTGGAAGAGCAGAAAGGAAAAAGAAGAATGTCAACACAGGAGATCCTGGGTAGGGGACTTCTAGCTTTATGGTCTATTCACTGTGGGCCAAGGTGTTTGTATGTTTTAAACAGTCAGGCTCCGCCTGTAGGATCATTGTGGGTGAGAACCATGTACGCTACCCTTAAGCTCCTTCGAAGAAAGGTGCAATAGAAATAACTGCAGCCTCTGCCCACTGATAGAGTTGTTGAATAGAGTTCAAGTCACCCCTGTCAGTTTGCAGGTATCCCAAACGATGGTGGAAAGTGGATCGCTTTTCTTTGTACTGCACAACACACACTAAATATAGCAGAAATATCACACTGATCTGAAGGCCCAACGTCTCCCTTTACCTTGTGGCTCTTTTCTTCGGGACCATTTTCTGTAAGGGGAAGGGAGGGAATAAGTTAGCTCAGAGACAGGTGTGCCCTCCCACCCTCAGCTTCATCGCTAGTAGTGTCTGTGGTTCTGCCAGAGACAAGGGAAGTATTTTGATCTTGGTGGAATAGAGGAAGCTAGGATATATCACACCAGCCATTAGCCATGTTGCAAATACAGGGGGATTATTTTACCCGCAACTTATTACCAACAATTCCAAGAAAAAGAGGAGAGCAACCATCTAATGGAGCTCAGGAACCTGAAAAAATATTTTAGGTAGGTCAACAGTGTCACTCAGCGTTGAGGCCATGTTTGGATCAGGGAAGAGCAGGGCAGAGGTGAGGTCAGGGCTGCAAGGACACACCAGCAAGACTGGCAGATTGGTCCATGACATCAGGTGACTGACAGGTGGGTGGCACCCAAGTGAATACACTTGTGCATTGGTTTTCCTAAATGCCCCCTTGATAGGCAGAGCCCAGCCCATGCTGCGAAGAGATGGCTACATAGCAGGGAAGGCGATCATGAGTGGCCCTCACAACTCCCATCAGCCCCAGGCAGAATGGCTAATGGTCAATGAATCACGGGAGTGCCACAGGTTTCCCCAGCCCTGCTATGTTAGGGGTTGGCAGCTGCAGGATGCCCTGCGCATGCAGAAGGGAGTTCCTCACACTGTACTCACTTCAGCAAGAAGAAGGCCCAGACAATCAGCAGAAAGGAGACACAGTCTGTCACAATCCAGATCATTTGGTATGTGGCACGAGGCTGTGGAGAAGGGAACATGGGGAACGGAGGTCATTGGGGTGGGAGAAAGGGCAAACGGGCAGCTGCCAGTTTCCCCGGGGAGCTGCCTACACAGGGGTGGTGGTGGTGATACAAGTCTAGTCCTTCCCTGCCCCAACCAGTCTTACCAGTAGCCAGAGGGGGCGCTCCATTCCCTGCAGCACCTGGCAAGCGTTAGTGGTGACAGAGTTGGCTCCTGCGCACCACAGGATTGAGAAGAGCCACGGGGCGTTCACCACGTACAGGTTCACAGAGATGTTGTCACGGCGATACTCCCTAGGGAAGAAGGTGGGATTCATGGCACCAAAGCAGAACAGGGAAACTCCCGTGAAGCCTCTAGGGAGGAGAAACCCCAGTGCCTAAGATACGCTGAAGGGAAAAGACAGGCTCCCAGAGGCAAAGGCAGAGAGGGAGACTCTGAGCGTAAGCCCCACAGTTTCCACCCACAGAGTTTGCTGCCGTGTTCTGGGACGATGTTCAGGGCTTATCATCTGGGGTTAGATATACACTGGTACCTCAGGTTAAGTACTTAATTCATTCCAGAGGTCCATTCTTAACCTGAAACTGTTCTTAACCTGAAGCACCACTTTAGCTAATGGGGCCTCCCACTGCCGCCGCGCTGCCAGAGCATGATTTCTGTTCTCATCCTGAAGCAAAGTTCTTGACCCAAGGTACTGTTTCTGGGTTAGCGGAGTCTGTAACCTGAAGCGTATGTAACCTGAAGCGTATGTAACCCGAGGTACCACTGTATCCTTTGCTCAGCCCAAAAGGGTGCCAGATCCCCTGCATGCCCTGTGTGAGAGCATCCAGCAGACAGTGGTGGGCTTTGGGGTCTCAGGTTTCAGTGGCACCCTGTGTGACACCAACATTTGGCACGCACACACCCTGGCCTGCATTCTAAATGATGGTTGCAGTGCCACCGAGGCTCCACGTCCGGTGTAACTGAACTGGTTGTGCTCCCATAAATCCACTTCTGCTGCAGATACCATTCTATCAGGAGATCCATTCTGCACCATGCTGGAATCAGGCCTTTGGTTTGGAAGTATCTCCCCTCTGGAACTCCCTCCCACTGCATATCAGAGGGGCACTTTCTCTATTGCCTTTTTGGAACCTGCTAAAGACATTCCTCTTTCAACAAGCTTTCTAAGTGGAAATCTTTATCCTGGCGGATATCTGGCTTGGATCTGTATTGATTTTGTGCATGTGCTGATCTAAATTGTTCTCCTTTATGTAGGATTGTGTCCAAAGTTAGTTCCACTCAAAGTGATCCAATTGAAATTAGTGGACGTGATTAACTTGGGTCCATTGATTTCAATGAGCCTACTCTATATTTCCAAACTTATCCATGGAGTAACAAAAACTTGAGACTTTTTTTTCAAAAAGAAAAGATGTTGTCTCAGGATGCTCAAACTATCTTTGCTAGCCAATTCTCTCTTCTTGACCTATGCCTGGGATAGACACCAACCCCACTGTCACCGCCCTCCCTCCTGCACATCGCCCCCCCCCAACTAACCGGATTTCAGTGCTGCTCAGATTTTGGTAGGGCAGGTTAATACGCATAAGGTCTTCTGTTTCATTGCTCAGCTTCTTCCGGCCATAGACCTGCTGGAACCTGGGCGCCCGCTGCTTCACCCAGTCTCGAAACTCATCAGGGAGCCATAGGATCTGGGAAGGAGGGAAATGGTAAGCAAGAGATCCCTCCTCACTCCCCCTGCTTCATGGGGGGCAAGACCTACAAGAAAGGACTTGCTGTGCTCATTAGGCCAGACACTCCTGTGTAGATCCCGTTTTTGTTAATAAACAGCTACTTGCTCTATTTGCTCAGTGTGATTTACTGCTGGCTTGCTCTTGGCTTCCTTGTTGTTTGCATTTAGGCAGAATTTCTCAAGGCAAGCATGCCAGCCTCATCCCTGTCCACCCACTTTCCCCACCAGCTCCAAGGGGAAGCCCACTGTGTTCTGTCAAGCAGTGAGGACAACTCACCAGTTCCGGGGAGATGTCTGAATGGAGGATAGTCTCCACAGTGACATTGACGAGGTCCTCGTAGTGGGGATCCTCCTCGGGACGCAAGTCAAACATGACAGACACGTTGTGCCTCTTGGCCTCAACTAGCAGCTGCTTCAGAGACAGAACACGCTGCGCCTGTGCCAAAGCTCGTTCTGCCTTTGAGAGGCTTCGTGCTGTAGGGAAGGGCGGCTTCTGGTAGGGGGAAGAAGGGAGTCAGTGAGAGAGGACATCATAGAGCCCTGCAGCTGCAGGCTTCTTCAACCCAGGCTTAGTTCCCCATTGAGACTGAATAGGCAATCACCACCCATCCATTTTTGCTGCATGCAAGGGCTTCCCCAGTCAGACCTAAGGATCTTGCTCACTACAAGGGAGCATAATGAACACTGTACCATTCACTCCTATGGAACAAGAGACAGTAAGAGGGCAATTGCACTTGAGAGAATGCTGTTTCCATGGTCTGGGACTGGTAATCACAATAATATTCATTCAACAAAATATTTACTGGTATTCAGCATTGCTCAACAAACCAAAATGTAAACAATAGAAACAGTTTATTGATGATAACCATTTTGACAAGCAGTTGCAAAGCAAGGCTATGTGATACAAAACAAGAACCAAACCAAACCAAACCAAAGCAAACCAAAGGCCTCTTGAAAAAGAACAGTGTTTTGAAAGTGTTTGAATAAGCCTCCCTTGGGAGAGAGTTCTGAAGTATCAGGGCTGCTCAAAGAAAGCCCTGGTCTTTTGTGAAGGATACTTACCTTCACAGTAAGACAGAATTTGGAGCAGGACCACATCAGGATATCAAAGGATTTAACCCAATTAGCATGCAGTCCATGGAGCTCTCGCTACCACAGAGCAGTCATCTGCACAGCCTATTGAGCACCCGGGCTCAGTAGGGATCAGATCATCATCAGCAAACACCACAGCCCACATGCCCCTATTGGATTCATTAGATCTGGTCCTATTGAGGGACTAAGCCAGGCGTCAATCACCTTTCTGGGCCCACAGGAACATTTGGAATTTTGAGAAAGTACCATGCGCACCAGTCACAAAATGTTGGTGTGTGTGAGTTGCAGGAAAGCATGGCGTAATGCAAATTGGCTGCCACACCTAAAAGAGCAGAGAAAGCTGAAGGCAAGCCCCTGCCAGCATCACTGGGGGGGGGGGGCATCTTGACAGAGAGAAGCCCTTTGCACCTCTCCTCTGTTCAGAATGGAAAAGAGGGTGGGTGTCCAGTTCTGGAAGGTATGTCCAATGTAGGAGAGGCTGAACTGGTGAAAACAGGGGCTGAGCAGCAAGAGCTAAACATCTCCCATGTATTGCGGATTTTTGAGCAGATATATACTGAGATCTTTGCAGGTGCCATAAAGGTACAGATGGGCACAATGGAGAAGCCCACATTGGCAAACCCAGGTCTGTGTATTCTGGTAGTAAGATTTATAGCCAGATATACAGCACCTTCTTGTCTGTTCTCCATCCCACACAACAGGAAATCATTTCCCACCGTATTGTATCCCTTCAGAGAGCAAATGCACAGGGAGCAACCAATGCTATTCCACTCATGCAAGTCAGCCCAGCAGCACCCATTTCACCCCACCAAGCTTGCACAGGGCTTGAGTTGGCACCACCACACAGCTCTCACCTGCAGAAACCAGCTGCCAGCATCAAGTTGCTGCAGCTGTGTCCAGTTGAAGGAGCTGGCATTGGACTGGGCTTGAGCAGGGAAAACCTCTTGCACATTTGTGGTCCGGATGAGCTTCTCGTCATGCATGATGAAAGGGACCCCATCGGCACTGCCAGGCGAGAAAGAAAAAGAGCTTGGTCTGGGGAATGGATTCATCTCTACTGCCGGAGGGAGAAGGAAAGAACTCTGGAAGTTGCCTTGGGGGACCAGGAAGTCTCTTCATCTCCCACAGACAGCTGATCTGCCACCTCTTCTCCCCTTACCTCACCAGGACATCTGTCTCCAAGACGCTCACTCCATAGTCAACTGCCTTCCGGAAGGACATCAGAGTATTCTCAGGTGCAAGCTGGATGGAGATTAAAAATGGACATAAAATGACAGGTGCATTTGAAGGACAAAGGTAGTAAGGTTGGTGCTGGATGGCAAGTAATGCTTAGTGGGGACATGGGAGAGGGCCTTCTTGGTGGCTGCTTCCAAACTTTGGAAGTCCCTCCCTAGAGAAGCTAAACTGCTGTCTTTCTGCTAGCCGGTGAAGACTTTCTTGTTCCAACAGGCCTTTGGGAACTGACTGCTTTTAATGAAAGGGCTGGTGCTGTGCTGCTTTCATTGTAATTATCTGCATAGATTTTTGTATAATTTTAATTCTACCAATGCTAAATTGTATATTAATGATGGATTTTTCTGTGTCTTTTCTTGTTTTTATCTGTAGGCTACTTTGAGTCCTTTTGGGGGGAAAGGTAGAATATAAATCTAACAAGAAGAAGAAGAGGAGGAGGAGGTGGTGGTGGAGGAGGAAGAGATAAGGCACCTCATTGAGGAAGAGATATGCCACCTATTATCCTGCTTCTTGCTGTGCAAAGGAGGTGCTGGCTACTCACCATGGGAGCTCCACGGTGCCCGAACAGAGCTGGCTTGGGGGGCAGCTGGCTGTACTCCAACAGACAGGGGGAATCAATACCCAGTGGGGCTAAGTACAGAGCAAACACTGCACCCAGATACAACAGCAGCAGAAGAGTTCTCAGGACTGTGGAGACACAGACAGATGGAAAATGCAGGTAAAATGCAACGGCAGTCTTGGAAGAAGATAATAGCAAGCTAGACCTTCATTACTAGCATTGAGAAGACATTCCAGGTAAGATATCAGAATTGGGCCCCCAGCTCTTTGGGATCATCCTAGTCTCTTCCCACCAGTGAGGTTACTTGTTTCTTCAGAGTGGAACTCTAATAATGCAATGGTGCCACCTGCTAGAGCCCTAAAGAAAGAGCTGAGCAACACACTGCAGCATGCAGTACTGTCAATAAACAAGACGTAGGGCCCCTCCATACTGGCATTTTATTCAGAGTGTAGTCTGCAACATGCTCTTGGCACAATAGTGGTGCATTAGTGGTGAATTTAGTCTGCTTTGTTAGTTGTTCTGTGATGCTTCCCCACCGCTACTACGTCATTGTTGTCTGGAGGGGCTATAAAACGACAAAAGTGGGACGACTTTCCCCTCACTCTCTCAGTTTTGGTACAAATAAATAGGATTTCAACAGGATATGCACTGACTGGAAATGAAGCAGTATGACTGCCCCAAACATTTGCAGGTGCAAACAGTATTTGAAGTGAGATTGTGTGTAATTGTCCGAGTAGCCTCATCACAAGCACAAATAATCATGAATGAGTGGTAAAAAAAGACGCTAGGGCTGGATTGACACTGATCTGGAAAACTATATATTTCCCAATGCAAGTTCTCATTGGCAACATTTCGCTGCTCTACAGCGCTATCCGGTGTCACATTTTAATAACACATTTCTAACGTTTTGAATGATGAGGGTAGATTAGTCCTAGGAGGGACCCCGTATGGCCTTGAACATTGTTCAACACCTAAGGAAGACTCCGAAATGCCTGCTGTAGGGGCCTGTACTGGGAGAGAACAAGAATAGCTTTGGCCTCCCTGGTACCTGAGCAGGATGTACGGTAAAAGCAGTCAGCCACTGGCCAGGCAAGCAGTGTCATGCCCACCACAGCTCCGATGTGCAGGAAGGGACCTGTTGCCTGGCAGGGCAGAAACAAGAGTTAGCCATTGGTTTGGAGTTTCCAAGGGAGTCATATCAGGCTGCAGCAACATGGGACAAATAGAACAGGTAGAATGAAGGGGCAATGCCAGGGAATAGGCTGGCCCTGAAGCTAAGCTTTTAACCCAGAGTTCCCTGCAGGATAATGGCAGAGGGCATCAAGGGCTGGAGTCCCCACCCAGAAGGAAAAGCCACAGTTAGTGTTAATTGCTGCAAGATGCTTTCACAAGGAATGACTCATAAATTAAATAAGTGAGCTGGAATTTAAACTGTACTAAGATTATAAGCTTTTGGCAAGAGGCATTGAGGATTATAAATGAACTTCTTTGTGGCGATATAATCTTAACCACCAAATATGTTTTACTGGAGTGTCTAAAATGCATAGTAAATGTGGAAGGTTTGGAACTTGCAACGTTGCAGCCAGAGTAGCCACAGCAAGGAACTGAAAATCAGATAAACCAGCTGACATCTTGCAATGGTAATAAAACATATGGGATATATAGCACTGTTGACAAAACTTGCATGTTATAAAAGAGATGCTGAAGGATGTGCACAAAACCAATTTTATTGAAAAATGGAGTACTAGATAAGGTTGAACATTCCAAAACAGTGTTTAACCTTATCTAGTATTCTCAGTCTTATAATTTGACATTTTGTTTAAAATATAATAATGAGCAAGGATGCCTGATTATATAATGCTCCTTAAACCATAACTGACATTTTGTATATACATGATATTAAGACATTATATATCTATTATTTATTTTTGTAACCCCTTTATTTTGTGATATAAAACTTGGTCAAAATGTGCAAGGGTATTCTGTGTTCCAATCAACTTTGCCTCCTCCTGTCCGGTCTTCATCAGCCATAAGAACCACCCCACCACCGGCAGATTGCCTGACTTGCTTCGTACTACCTGTACTGGGTAGGATGCTAGAGGGCAGGGGGTATTAGACTTTTCCTGGGGGTCTACCTGTGCTGTCAGTTGTCTGGCTGACAAGGTCCAACAGGTGCACAAGCAACTGTTGCTGAATGTACCCACTGGGTTGGTTCACAATTTAACTGCTGTGTAGAAGCTGCTATGAATCATTCCATGTTTCAGTTGCTGCTGCAAGCGATGCCATGCGCAGCAGCTCAGCAAGAAGGGAAGGCAAGGAAAAAAACACAACCTGTGCCAAAATCACATGGCAAACACTTGTTATATCCCAAAAGCTCACCATTCAATTCATTTTTGGGCAGTGTTCATGTGGCAGCTGTGCCATGGCTCATATTCTCTGAGATCATGCCATCAGCTGTGGATTCTTACCTGCAGGGAGATGTGGGCACTTTCCCACTGCTCTTCCCACTGAACCTCCACCCCCACAAAAGCAGAAGCCACCACAAGTGCCGTCAGGATCAGAAGAACCTGGAAGGAAGAGAAGACAGCATCAAGTGCCTGGGGGCGGGGGGGGGGGGGACAATTGTATTTAAGCCACTTTAAGAACTTTATTTTGAAAAGGAGGCAGTATGTATAGACCAGGGGTTGGCAAACCTTTTCAGCAAGGGGCCAGTCCATTGTCCCTACACCTTGTGGGGGGCCGGACTATATTCTGGGTGAAAAAATGAACGAATTCCTGTGCACACCAGGCAGGCCCCACAAGTAACCCACAGGTGCATTTTAAAAGGACACATTCCACGCAAGAGCACCATGCAGGCCAGACAGCATTGTAGATGATAAATATTAAAATTAAAAAATTTTCTTACCTGCACTGATGACAGACATTGTTTGGATGGGGGGGTCCTTGCCTGGGTTTGGTGCTGCATTGCGGACTGCTGGGCCTCCTGCTGCTGGCCCCTCTTCTGCGCTTTGGGGGTGGGGCCCCCACCCTCTCTCTTTCCCTCCCCCCATAAATCTCTTGCCCCCTCCCCGGGTGGTGCCTCTTTTCCTGCCAGCAGACCTCCTCCCCCTGCTTTTCCTCCTTCTGAAGGAGGACTTTGCATAAGAACATCTGGCAGCTTCCCTCTTTTTTGTCTCCCCCCCCCCCCCAGGGAGCTCAGAAAGCGGCTGGGCCGGGTTAACGAACCTTGCGGGCCTGATCCGGCCAGCGGACTGTAGTTTGCCGACCCCTGGTATAGAATGTCAAGACCTTTCTGCAAGGACTGTACCACTTTGGTTATTTTGTACACTGTTGCAACTAAATAAAGCTATTGGTTTCTCACCATTCTGGAAAAAAGTGTGCTTGCTTTGGCAACACATGTATTAAATTTTTGGGGGGCGGGGGAGTGAAAAGTAGGGAGCTGCAGGGTTCTGTTCTGGGCCTAGTGTTGTTGAACATCTTTAGAGAGATTGTTGTGCATTTGGAATGGGAAAGTAATCGGTTTGCTTGTGAGTGTTTGAGAGAGAAAGTGAGTAACAGAACATAGAATCATAGAATGGTAGAGTTGGAAGGGATCCCAAGGGTCATGTTGTCCAATCCCCTGCAATGCATATATTGGGGTGCAGTGAGGCTTCTCTCTGGGGAAGCTGATGTGCGTATACTTTTCACTTCCACCTGTGTTCTACTTGCATGTTTGTAGGGAATGGTGAATATGTCAGTTTCAGTTTATTTTAGTTTCCTATTTTTCTAATCTTAAGCTCAGTTCCCTACATTTCCAAATCAGTTACAAGTCCTTGTGAAAAGCCGTTAAGCATTTTAGTGCGTATTTATATGTACACTTTACTGTATGCATTTTTGAACATATTGCTTAGCTGGAGAACTGCACAGAAAAAAATAGAGAAATGTAAATTTCAAAGCACGGCAGTATTTTGGTTCTCACATTGTAGTCATGTTTCTATTAAATGTGAGGTGAATCAATTTTTTCCTCCATCCTTACAAAACATTGCAAGCCCCCAGTGTCCTCTCCCCTTCCATGGTATTGTTACATTAGCTCATTACTGACTTTATTGGAAAAATATTTGTTAGTTTATAGCACTGGCTTTATTGGAAAAGTCTGGAAATCTGTGGTATTTTTGCTTACAGTGCCTTATCGTTTTAATTGTTTGGCTTTTATTCTGTAAATTACCTTGTTATCTTATAATGGAAGACAGTCTCTAAACATTTTAATAAGGAAAATAAACTTACATAGTGCCATCAGTGTGCAAGGCACTGTGCAAAGTGAAACCCTGTCCCAAGGAGCTTACAGGCTAAAATGTAACAGGAGAAATAGAGGAAGGAGAAGGAAGTGGAGGACCACCAGGCCGTTTTGGTCCAACCCCGCCCCCCCCGGTCATTCACCTAACATCAAATGACATCAGGTGAAGAGATCTGTTGTACTTTATCTCAGCACTAAGTGCAAAAATAAATAAATGCATGCTCATTTGATACTGGGAATCCAACTAGCTAATGGTGGTGATCTGGTGTGCACCAACATTATGCAGCAGCAGCAGCAGCAGCACAAACCTTTGTGCAGGATTGTGCCTTCCACAAAGGAAACCGGTAGGAAGTTGGAATTGTGCTTGGGGCAGGGGTTTACCTTGTATATCCAATGGAGCTTCAGGGGCTGGTGCCAGAGCTGCAGGCAGAGTGCCAGAACCTATAATTAAAATGGGAGAGTGATGTGACTTAGGACCAAAGAACCCACTTTGGATTCTGGGACAAGGACAGCAGGAGGACCACATTCTCATACAAAGATGATGGTGTTGACACCACTCAAAAATGAAGAAAAGCCATAACTCTGCAGTTAGGCAACCTGCTTTCTATACCCAAACCCTTCAGACCTGTATTATGAAAGTTGCAGATACTTTCCTATTTGCATTACAAATTCCACTGTCACAAAAGTCTCAGCCACTAACCACTAGACACCCTTCTCAGAACCTTCCTTCTGGCTTCTGAGATGTTCACTTATACAGTGGTACCTCAGGTTACATATGCTTCAGGTTACAGACTCCACTAACCCAGAAATAGTACCTCGGGTTAAGAACTTTGCTTCAGGATGAGAACAGAAATTGTGCTCCGGCGGCACAGCAGCAGCAGCAGGAGGCCCTATTAGCTAAAGTGGTGCTTCAGGTTAAGAACAGTTTCAGGTTAAGAATGGACCTCTGGAATGAATTAAGTAGTTAACGCGAGGTACCACTGTATATGTTTTAGGCTAATCTTATCCAACTGATGGAGAAGAGGCTGCGGCTCAGTGGTAGAGCATCTGCTTTGCATGCAAAAGGTCCTGTGTTCAATTCCGAATCTCTCCAGGCATGGCTGGGAGAGGCACCCTCTCTGAAACCCTGGAGAACTGCTGCCAACCAGTGCAGAGAATACTGAGCTAGATGGACCAGCAGTCTCACTCAGTCTGAAGGTATCTCCTAATGTTTCTACTTTGTGTGTGTCTGTTTTAAAGTACAGTGGTACCTCGGGTTACATACGCTTCAGGTTACATACGCTTCAGGTTACAGACTCCGCTAACCCAGAAATAGCGCTTCAGGTTAAGAACTTTGCTTCAGGATGAGAACAGAAATCGTGCTCCGGCGGCGTGGCAACAGCAGGAGGCCCCATTAGCTAAAGTGGTGCTTCAGGTTAAGAACAGTTTCAGGTTAAGTACGGACCTCCGGAACGAATTAAGTACTTAACCCGAGGTACCACTGTACACTGGTATTCTCAATGTGCTGATTTAACTTTCTCCCAAGGAACTCTATTAAGTTTTATGAAATGTTGGGCTTAGATATTGCTGGCTCTCTCAAAAAACTGGAGTTCCCAGACTTAATCACATACTAGCAAATTCAGATAGATAGGTATGTCTTGTGTGACAAACCCGCTTTTCCCAAAGACCTGACTTTTTCTAATAAGGAAAGTGATGGGAAAATGTGCTGGAGTATGGGATAACCCTTGTTTTGATGCAACATCATGTAACCTCTCCTCTAACAAATCAGGATAAATGCTCTACAAATAGGTTATATGAAATGGTCCTTAGTAGGCAGAACAGCATGTTCCCAAATGGGTTTTAAGAAGTTGATTTCCCCCCACCCCCCAACCACCCCAAAGCGAGACCAGGGAATTCTGGAGGTACGGTGCAAGTGTCCTGGGAAAAGAGCCAAATAAAAAGGGTGTACCAGGAGCAGTGAGGAGAAGGTGACCAGAGTTGTTGTTCCAGACAGCATCACCATCGACCAGTCAAGCCACCATCCTGTCTTGCGGAAAATGAATCTGTTGGGCAAGGGAAAAAACCCGAGGTGAGGAAGGGTTATGACAAAGGTAGCTGGAGAGAATCTTAGGTGGGGGAGGGCACCCCGGGCCTTCTACTCACTCATTGAGATTGTGGAAATCATTGAGGGTGACAAAGGCAAGGTAGAACCAGGCCAGGGCGAAAAGGCACACGCAGAAGATGAAGAAGAACCAGGCACAGTCGCACTGTGAAGAGGAGGAACAGGTTAGAAAATGAACCACCGGCAGATGCACCTCAATAGGTGGCTCTTGACTCTTGGATGACACACCCTCTGGCCTGGAAGCCCCACTTGCAGCTCCAGATGTGCAAGGCTGGCTGTGGCTACACAGTGGAGGGCATGCCCTAGGCACATGCTTTAGGTGGTCATATGTGAGATCAGACAGGAAGGTACCCATGACAGGTTCCTTTTCAGTGACATTGCTGTGGAATTTCCTCCTACTGTCAGCCTCCTTCTCCTTTAGTATCTGGATCAACCTGGTGACTTCCAGATGTTTTGGACTACAATTTGCATCAGCCCCAGCCACTAAGGGATAATGAGAGTGGTTCTCACCAAAACAACTGGAGGGAACCAAGCTGTTGAAGGCTGATTTAGACACTTGCTGAAAATTGTTTCAGCAAGCTTCTGGTTTTATTTCTTACCATCTGCTGTGCCTGTGATACTGCATTTGTTTTTTATCTGGTGCCATTAAGCTGTGGCTGTGCACACACTCCCATTTGCTCTAGATGCAGCGCACCACTGGTTTGGGAAGTGGTGTACATATGATGTTAGTCCTTCTCCTTATTATCACCATAATCACTGATTAAGTGCCTTCTAAACTGCCATCTCAAGGCGATTTACAGAAAAAATATTTTAAAACAGTTTTTAAAATAAAAAACGACAGCTCCGAATACATTTAAAACAGGACTATCCAGCATCAATCCTGTCGTTCCTTATAAAATCTGAACTTTGGTATGTCTTCCCTACCCAACTAGCTTTGATCCAAAGCGAGAGAGAAAAGATTCAAATAGCTACAGTATATTTAAACCTGAAAATTTGTATACAACATGTTTTAATCTTGTAAACCAGTTTGTGTCTCCACACAGAAAAGTGGGTTAAAAATAACAAATGAAATTATGCTTTTGCCTTGCTTGCTCTAAGGCTGAGCTGCGGCACTGACAGCAGATTCTGATTTATACCCCACCTTAAATCAAGCTCTGAGGACAGCTTAGCCTTAGACTGAAGATTAGATAATAATTTTGAAAGTGATTTGAGGAGCTTTACATCCCTTGGGGAACATACATATTTCATTAGTTCTCAAATCATTTTGCTGATGTGCCTTGAAATGAAAGGTTGGACATAAGATCTTGTATTATCTTCCATGCTTTGGGCTTCTTCTTAGTAAGGGTAGATAGACTATTTTGCTGTTAATTTGGATTTTGTCTTTAGTAGTTTTATTCCCAAGCTTTAGGATTAATTGTTGGCCTAGTTGTATAATATTGAGCTGATTGTTAGGTCTGTTTCGGTGGGCCTTTTGAAATGTTGATTCTATGTTTATATTTTGGCAATATGTTTTGAATTGTTAATGATTACTTTGGAAAGTAGATGCTAAATATTTTACTAGGTGTTGTTATATTACATTGTTATTGCATGGTATACTGATGCTTTAGGAGCTGGTTTACCACAGAAAGGCAACATGCAGATAAACTGAAGCCAGCCAAAGCGGACATAAAGCGCTATACATGGAGGCATACCTGAGCAGAATATATACATTGTGAGCAGCAATCCCTCTTTCAAATGGCCTTCAACTCTCTGGAGGGAAAAACATGCCATCTGCTCCAGCCATGCACTGCTTAGAGGGCCTACGCTGCAGGAGGGGTGGGAAGCAGAAAGAACACTTTCCCCCATGGCCAACCCCCCTGGCTTCCTCCCACCCACATTCTCAGGAACTCACTTTCCCTCACGTGATCAGATAATGCCTCTTCTCACTTTTGCTGAACATGCCACCCCAGTAGTGGAGCAAGCCAGTCGGGTGCCTGGGGCAGTGTGCATGCCCTGCGCCCAGGGGCGGGGCCAGCCACCTGCGGGGCAGGGCGAGCCGGGGCAGGATGCTCCGCTGGGCCTCTGAGGAGTCTGCCTGCCTCCTCCCACTCAGCTGCCCTACAACTGAGGGGGAGGCAGTGGGCGGACCTTTGGGGGCAGTGTGGAGCCTAAGGGCACCCAAGCCACCGCGGCACTCCCAGGAGAAATGCTTGGCTCGGGCATGGTGCAAGCCCCGTGGTGAGTGTCGCCTGGCATTTTGTCTCAGTGGTTACACCCGGGGTGGCCCGCCCCAGCACACCCCTTTCCTCGACCCCTGTGTCACCCAGTATACAAAGGGGTGGAGCTGGAGCCACAGACTGTGTGGCTGCCCATGGCTGCTACTTCCTCTAAGCTCCCGTCGCCTGCCCACCTCTGCCCATCCCTGCTGTGTTGCCATGGTTTGTTTTTTAATTATGGTTTTAATGTAGTTGTTGCAAACCATTCAGGGATTCTAATTAATAGAGGGTGGTTTAGAAATTCATAATGATAATTATCATGTGGGGTTGCCCATGGGCCTGGTCTGGAAACTCCATCTAGTGCAAAACACTGCAGTTAGGCTGTTGATGGAGATAGATTATCACCAGCACATAACTCCAGTTTTCAAAAGCTTGCACTGGCTGCCCATATGCTACTGGGTCAAGTTCAAAGTTCCTGCATTAATTCGCAAGGCCCTTAAGTACTTGGATCCCGATCCCTGCCTGATCCCTGATGTATTTGGGGGAATCGCAGTTAGGCGTCCTGAATGGCACTGCCTGCATCTGCCAGGAGCCAAGCGTTCCCGTATTGTGGAATTCTCTCCCGACTGAGACCAGACAGCAGGGCTGGGCGATGTATCAATACATCGTCTGAAGTTGGTTCGAAGTCCACATTGTGAGAACAGTTCTATAATATTTGACATGGCGACATATCACGATTCACAATTTGTGAGGGTGCTATGTAAAAAATTGTGAAATGGGAAAAACCGTGAAGCCAGTCATCGCTTCTCTTATGTTTCCTGCTGCCCCTGTTGCTCTCTGTACTATAAAATAACAGTTGTAATGATATGCTAAAAGTAAGTAAAAATGTACCCTTTATAGACCCATAAGTAGTAGCAAGTGCCAAGACATTGCCCTATTTGCCTCTACATAGTTACATCCTTATTTCAGATATTGTGATATATCAGTATATCACAATGTTTAGCTGCTGATATATCACAATGATGAAAACCAGAAACTGCCAGCCCTACCAGGCGGTCCCTCCCTCCCTCAATGAAGACTTCTTTTTTAAAAAAAGAAATATTCAGCAGGCACTTTAAGTAAGCTTTTTATTATTGATTTTAACTGATTTCCCCCTCTGTATTATATATATATTTGTAACTGCATTGTACATTGCTTAGAAAAAAGGTTTTAAGCAGCATTAAAAATTGTTGAACTAAATAATGATGAAGATGAAATGATAATAAGGATACAGTGAGGACCAGGGTACTTTACAGGCATGGCTACATTCCCCCACTGCGCTGGGAAACCAGTTTGTCTTTTGCTGTCAAGAAAGAGAAGGGGGCCATGATTAGTCAGTAAGAGGGAATTCCTAACACGCCAGGGCAGGCAAGCCATCTTTCTCTGTGAGAGTCAGGCAGACCGACCAATTCCAGCACCAGGTCTCCTGGAACTTTTGAGAGCACAGCACTGAGTGGGCCAAAACTGAGGGTGCTAGGAGAGGGTGGTGAGAGAGAGAGAGAGAGAGAGCTGGAGGATCCTGCCATATTGGACACTAGAGAAAACAGGTCAAAACACAGCTGCCTAAGGACAAAGACTTCTGTTGAATTTTTGCTGGAGCTTCTGTTTCTTTCCTCCCTCCTATTCCTTTTTCCTTGTGTGTCATGCCTTTTTAGATTATGAGCCTGAGGGCAGGTACTGTCTTGATTTTTGCAAGTCTCTCCGAGAGCCCTTTTGGCAATGGGGTAGGGAATAAATGCTGTGAAAAATGAACTTTTAAAAAGCCCTTGACAGAAAAAGGGTCCATGCCTGGCACCCCCTGCCCCTCTTCTCCAGGACATGCCAGTGCTCTCCTCATGCCTCATGACGCAACAGAGCCAGGCCAGCCAGTACTCTCTAAACACATCCCTACAGATGCTGGAGAAGAGTTGCCCACTCACCTTGCTGGTTACCAGACCCTTCTTGTTACGAGTCCAACGGCAGCTGTAGAGGCACAGCAGGCAGGTGGCACACCGGCTGCAGCAACCTGCGTCCTTCACCATGGTGCGTCAAGTAGTGGAGGACACCAGGCCCTGCTGGGGGGAACACATGTAGCCTATTGGTACTGCATGGTAGGGCACGTGGAGTTTGCAGGGAGGAGGCAGATAATGCAGGAATAGGTGTGGCAAGGGGGGGGATAAGGAAGGAAAGAAACCACGCTTGCTTGAATGGGTCTTCCGCCTTCCGCCTCTCCTGCTCTTTTCCACTCACCAGGAACAGTTGCGGTTTGCAAAAGGGAGTGCGGAAATGTGTGAAGTTCAACGAGATCCCAAGCTCCGTTCCCCCACTGTCATCACCCAACGCAAATGTTGTGGGTGCAATACCAGAAGAGGCTAATCTAGATCAGGCACCAGGCCAATGGAAACCTGCGCACGGTGGCGGCGGCGGGGGGGGAGGGGGGGAAAACTCAACCTGCCTGGTGAGTTGCACCCCGGGCACCCCACCCCAAATTTGCAAGCTGGGGCAGGCCCACGTTGCAAGGAGTCGGGTTAGTATGGAGCTTAATCGTACCTCTCTCCTCCAGAGAGTGAAAGATAAAGAGGCAGACACAACACACGAGAGCAACGGGACAGGAGGGTGCGGGGAAACCCACAAACACAGCCCCTCCTTCCCCGGCTTCTGGTGTTGTTAGGGTTTATACTCGGAAGTCACATTTTGGAGAGGAGAGTCTGCTTCCTGCGTACTCACTTAACCCTACCTACTAGCCTCATTCATTCATTTCTTTCATGCACAAGCAAAGGCTATTCCTGCATTCCAGGTCGCAGCTCTGAGTGGAGCTCTTGGAACCCCTATGGAGGGTCTGTTTACAGAACAGGTGAAGCACATGAAGGGTGGAAGCCTGTTACTTGCAGCTCCTCCTCCTCCAGCTGCTGTGAGAGCAGGATGCTGGACTAGATGGGTCACTGGCTCTTCTTAAGTCCTCAGCTGAATTAAAACCCAGATTCCAGCACACTCAAGCTACCTAACATCAGCCACACAAACAGGGCAAGGAAGACATGCAGACCTGCTTCTTTTCCCATTAAACCCTGTCTCCATGTCCCTCTCCCCATCCTCTGTCCCCCCCCCGACTGTATGGCCACTGGGGCAGGGACCTGCATTCTTGCTCTTGGGAAAGTATGATGTACACAAATGGCACTGTAACAATAATCACAGATAAAAACCATAATGGCAGTATACGGTATTTCATAAAGATGATGCCAGTAATACCTATGAGCCCCCAAAATGCTCTTACAAATCAGAAGCCTGCTTTAATTGGTTTAAGTTTCTCCCCATGTCAAGATAATTGCTTTGGGAAAAGACGTATCCAGCGCCTGGCATAATACGCACAAGTGTGTTTACCGCAGTCACCCATAACCAATGTCAGAAGAAGCAACAACAAAAACGCATACGATCTTCCTCTTCACACATGGCGATACAGCTCTCTCTCTCTCTACACGGGGATGGTCTCTGCATCACGTAATGTGTGGAGCAGTTGAGAGATGCAAAGGCGCTGCAGTTGTGAGAGGGAAGGAGCACTCCCGCCCTGCCAAGGCCCCTCAGGCATGGGGAAGGTGTTGCTATGGATACCAGAGAGACTTCAGGCCTTGGTGCACAGGGGCATGTGGGGCAGTGGTGGGGGTGCAGGAGGAGAAAACACGACCATTTGGCTACTCTGCTCAAAAAACACCAGCCTTCTCAGGCCACCTTATCTGAGAGTGCCAGGGTAAAGGCAGGTGGGCAGAGGCGATGCGGAGACTACCTCTGGTTTGGCTGCACTAGGCATGGAGCCTGGGGGACACCACAATTTTTATTTAGAATGGAGCGTGAGAGGCAGTGGGGCACTGAGGTTTGGCCACTGCAGGTGGGGACAGGATGGCACCCACTGAGGGGGGCAGAAGGAGCTGCTAGGGGTGGGGTGACTCTGCAAGTCTTGCAAAACCGGGCAGGCATGGCCCCAGCTTATTTCCGGGGGGGGGGGGGGGGGGTAGACATTGCAACATTTTGAGGAGTCATGTGTTTAGAAAAAAACTCATTTTCCTTCTGAATAAAAGTTTGGCTGTACAAAATTATTTAAAGTATGAATGACCAAGATTACATTAGTCAGAGGAAGGGGAGAGCAAGCTGGGAAATAAACTTGTCTTAATTGTATCCTCTCCCTCCCCCACCCTCTCCAGCCCAACTTCACACACAATCCCTATGTGGCACAGAAAGTGGAGGAATGCACATGGAATAATTGCATATAATTATTAAGGAAAACCCCATACAGTGGTGCCTATTCCCATGATGGGGGGGGGGGAAGGGGATATCATGGTTTCGCTCTTTTAAAATAAAGGAAAACTTGGAGAGAAACTTCTTGACCCACCTTCAGAATCCCACACCAAATATTTACCCCATCTAAAGCTGGAAAGTGAAACTAAAATGCGTATTTTCAGAAGACAAGATAGCTCCTTTCTCTAGCCCCTTCCTGCCGTCCCCACCAAAACAACCCAATTCCTACTTTATTACCATCCCGTTTTTGCTGGGTGGGCTGGAGAAAGGAGGGACCCTTCTTTTCTATGTCCCAGAAAAGAGCCTATTTTGCTTCAAGGCAGTTTGCCTACTGCCCAGTTTGCAGCACCTCTGGTGCTCCTCCCAGCCCCCTCACTCACCTTGACCAAGGCCCCAGTCCCCTTGGAGGACAGGCTCAGAAAGAGCTGGCTGATCAGATCTCCCTTCTTTTGCAGGCAGTCCGATGAGGCACTTTTATCTGACAGCTGCTTTTATTCTTCCAAGCTGAACTTTTGCTGCGGATGCTCCTCCTCCTCCTCCTCTCCCTCGCTCTGCTCTCACCGGCTGTCTCCTCTCACCTGCACAGTAGCTGGCATGAAACCCGTGTGTGTGCCACCTATGGGCAGGGCCAGGCAGGCTAGGTGCACTAGGGAGAGGCAAGAGCGCGTGAACTGGCTGAAGGGCTGCAGCTGGAGGCCAAGGAAGGTGCCGCTTTTGCGCCACACTCTTCAGCCACTCAGTTCACAGGCCAGGGGAGCTTGTTCTGTGGCTGGCTGGAGAGGCCCAAGGTGGGGGGCGGAGGGTGGGGGGAGTCACTCACTCAGAGCCCAGACCTGAAGTTTGCAGGCAGCCCACGCTCCGAGTGGAGGAGACGGAGGAGGGAGCCAGACAAAGGAGAGGGCTGCCCCAAAAGGAGAGAAAAGGAGCACTGCACCACCCAGGCGACTCATTCCACTCTGTCTTCCTCTAGCAAGCAAGAGGAGCTCTAACAAGCATACACAAGTTATTTCAGGACCAAGGGCAAGAAGAAACCCAAACAATATCCTCTCTTGTAGTAAAACATTCATAAAACTTAATTGTCTGACCATTTGTAGCCCTTTAATGATACTCCTTCACATCTTCCTCCTCAAGGAGAACCTCTGCCTGCCTAATAGGTATAAAAGCTTCCCTGGGGGGTATGGACAGTTTCTGAGAAACTTAAGTTTTTATTTATGCATTAAAATGATGTTTATCTATCACCGCTCAGGGCAATTGTTCACACAAAGCGGCATCATAGAGAATAACCACACAACACACAAAGCAATATGCTAAGATTAAAACTGGCAGCATAACTCTTTAAAATTAGCAGTAAAACTTCATCAAGAAAAGTAACTTAATTAAAAGATTGGAATAATAACATATTAAATGTATGTTCTCTTCTAACTCAGCTTGCGCAATGGGGGAGAGCATCTAGAACTAAGGGGCAACCTCTGAGAAGGCCATGACTCTGGTACCAGTCAACCTAACACAGAAGCCTTATGAGGAACAGTTGAGGGAGCTGGGTATGTTTAGGTTGGAAAAGAGGAGACTGAGAGGAGATATGATAGCCATTGTCAAGTATCTGTCCCATGGAAGATGGAGCGACCTTGTTTTCTCCTGCTCCGAAGGGTAGGACTCCACCAATGGCTTAAAGTTACAAGAAAGGAGATTCTGACCAAACATCAGGAAGAACTTTTTGACAGTAAGAGCTGTTCCACAGTGGAACTGACTGCCTCAGAAAGTTTTGGATTCTTGTTCCTTGGAGGCTTTTAAGCAGGGGTTGGATGGCCATCTGTCATGTATGATCTAGTTGAGATTCCTGCACTGCAGAGGGTTGGAATAGATGACTCTCAGGATCCTTTCCAACTCTACAATTTCATGATTCTACTGTTATGATGTTGGGCTTTGGGGGGGAGGGAATTGAGATCTTTCAAACCCCTGGACCCAGCAAGTATTAAAATATAAGACAGGCTAGCTTCCTGTGTTGAGGTGCTTGTCTGGGTGATGGGTCATTAAGAGAACAAAGGAAAGTGGGGTCTATGCTAGGCAGAAAATGGGTGGGGCCCCTCCCTCAACTTGCAAAAGTGAGAACAAAAGACAGAGTTTAGAGTTGAGTTATGTGACCTAGAAGCTGGATGAAAGGAAGAGAGACAGCCATAGCTGATTTCTGCTGGAATCCAAGACTGTGGCTATGGGAGAAACAAGTCCTTCTTGGGGTGTTAATGCTATGGGCCCCTCCATCATAGGCTCAGGTTGTATATGTGTAAACAAACCATATATCTTAAAGACACCACAGTCTTCGCTGAGCTTCATCCTTGAAGGAAATATGAACCTTGGGTAAGCACTAGAAATTCCCAGACTCTTATACTGCTCAGAGATTGGGGCTCATAAGATGCAGATTACTTAGGCAAGGATTTAGAACAATTTAGGCAAAATATATAAAGCAGGTTTGGGAGTTTCTGTGCTATGGAATAACAACTGACCGTCCACAAGTATTCTGTTTTTATACTATAAATTGCCCATTGACGGAGCCAAGAAGAGGTGTGAATTAATGAACTGAAAAAAGAGTATCTTAACCCAGTAAAATTCCAGAGGTGAGACATATATGCTGTCAGACTTCAGTCTTTCAAATTTCAGTGGCGCCGTGTGCAAGGTTAAAATTCAGCATGCTCCTGCCTCTTACCTTCTGCTCAATTCTGTCACTGTCACAGGGCTCTGTGGCGCCCTGTGCAGTGGAACTGATCATGCTGCCTCATGTCTGCCTCTGCTGCAAGAAGGATTAAGTATGCCTGCTCAAGGCCACAGCATAGTCCCTGGCTAGGCGAGCAGCTAAGCTGTAGGCAAATAATAATAATAATAATAATAATAATAATAATAATAATAATTTTTATTTATACTCCGCCCTCCCTAGCCAAGGCCGGGCTCAGAGCGGCTTACAAGCAATAATAAAAACAAGTTGAATGATTACAACTTAAAAACAAAATTAAAATACAACATTAAAATATTGAAACATTAAAATATTAAAATGTAGCCTCATCGCAGGAGGAGAAGGAAAAGAAAAAAGAAAGAGAGGGAGAGAATCAAATTGGCTCCAAGCCAAAGGCCAGGCGGAACAACTCTGTCTTACAGGCCCTGCGGAAAGAAATCAGATCCTGCAGGGCCCTGTTCTCATGAGGCAGAGCGTTCCACCAGGCCGGGGCCAGAGTTGAAAAGGCCCTGGCTCTGGTTGAAGCTAATCTAACTTCCTTAGGGCCTGGGACCACTAGGGTGTTGCTATATATGGACCTTGAGGCTCTCCGTGGGGCATACCGGGAGAGGCGGTCCCGTAGGTATGAGGGTCCTAGGCTGTGAAGGGCTTTAAAGGTCAAAAGCAGCACCTTAAATCTGACCCTGTACTCCACCGGGAGCCAGTGCAGCTTGAAAAGCACTGGGTGAATATGCTCCCATGGCAGAGACCCCGTGAGGAGCCTCGCTGCAGTATTCTGCACCCGCTGGAGTTTCTGGGACAGCTTCAAGGGCAGCCCCGCGTAGAGCGAATTACAGTAGTCAAGCCTGGAGGTGACCGTCACATGGATCACTGTGGCCAGGTCGGGGCGGGAAAGGTAAGGGACCAACTGCTTGATGCGGCGAAGGTGGAAAAATGTCGCCTTGGCTGTTGTTGTAACCTGTGCCTCCATGGAAAGGGAAGCGTCAAGGATTACACCAAACTCTTAACGGAAGGCAATGGCACTAATTGGGCATTAGTGGCAAAGGGCCACATCTCAAGAGTAGAGCATCTGCTTTGCATGCAGAAGGCTCCCGGTTCAGTCCCCAGCATCTCCAGGTTGGGCTGGGAGACACCTCTGTCTGAAACCCTGGACAGCTGCTGCCGGTGAGTGCAGGCAGCTCTGGGCTAGAGCAGGACCAATAGTCCAGCTTAGTGTAAAGCAGGTTCCTATGTCTCTACCCTGTCCCAGCCGAGAGAGCGGTGGCAGGAGGCTGAGATGACCAACTCTAGCAGGGGCATGCAGGACTGCCCTGGGAAGGTGGGTGTGAATAGGGATGACTGTCCCAGGCCCCATGCTTTGGACGCCCCTGCTTATCACTGGTGGCACAGACAGTAGCCCAAACTTCCTGGCTGGTCTTGCTGTCCCACCCAACTGGATAACCTCTCAAACCCCTCACTTGTTAGAGCAAGGCAGAGAAGTCGGGCGAAGGCAGCAGCAGCAGCAGCAAAAGAAACGAGATTAAGAAAGGAGGGAATAGGCCACCGGAGCTAAAGTGGCTGCAAAAAACAAGAAATTTCAAGTTAGCAAGTGAAGGACACAGAGAGGAAGGCCACTGGCACTTTTTGCAGCTGCAAACAACGCAAATAAAGCCAAGGAGAGAACAGGGAGAGGGAGCCCAACAGTGTTAAACTGGGTGCAAAAAATGGCACAAAGTAAGACAGGGGAAGGAAAATGGGGAGATATTGGCCACCAGTGCTAAAGCAGAAGCAAAAAGCCAAAAACTAAATTGGGGGAGGAGGGACTATCAGCATGGAGAGGAGGCAGGATGGCAGAGGCAGAGGGAGATGAAAGCAATGGTGCCCCCCCCCACTGTTTGATTAGCCTTGCACCCTCTTAGGCAGGAGTTGGCAAGGTTTATCTTGCCTGGGCTGGATCGGTCCCGCAGAGATCCCTCCGTGGGCCGGATCGTGCGTGTGTGCGTGTGCGAGTGAGCATGCCGGTGATTTTCAGCATCTGCGCGTGTGCAGACACGATTTCTGGTGCCGAGGAAACAAGTCCCTGCACCGTGCTGTGTCGGTTCAGTGCAGTGCGTGAGTGGGCAACTCGGTTCAGGGGCAGCTTGTGGGCTGGTCAAATGACCTCCACGGGCTGCTTCTGGCCCAAGGGCCTTAGGTTGCTGACCCTTGCTCTTAGGGATAGCTCTGGAGACATGATATGTAAAGCAAGCCGTGTTCAGAGCCTTGAGGTTGATGCCAAAGCTGGATGCAGGAGCTGAGGATGGAAGGTTCCAGGGTAACCCACAAAGTCAAAGGCCAGCCTGGAATTAATGCTGGAATGTCATTCCTAGGGAAGGAAAGAGCAAGAGCAGAAGGCCAGTGGCAGTAGCAGCCAAGCTCATCTAGTTATAGGGCCATCATCCTAGTGGCGCAGCAATAAAGCTGCTAGCACATTTGCAAAGCTAAGCAGGGTCCGGTATGGTTTCAAATGGGGTGGGCAACTGTGTTGAGAATCCTGCATTGCAGTGGGTTGGACTAGATGACCCTCGGGGTCTTTTCCAGTTCTACAATTCTATGATTCTATTACAGTGGTGCCTCGCAAGACGAAATTAATTCGTTCCGCGAGTTTTTTCATCTAGCGAATTTTTCGTCTTGCGAAGCACGGTTTCCCATAGGAATGCATTGAAATTCAATTAATGCGTTCCTATGGTCAAAAAAAGTCCAAACAAAGCCAAATTTGGTACAACAAGAGTTTATTAAGTGCTCTTTAAAGTCACACATACTTTAAAGAGCATATCAAAAATTGAAGGAACAATAAATTAAGTTTCTAAACATGACAGGAAAAACATTTAAAAATCAAAAAGGGTACATTACATTTTCTAAGACTCTGGGGACCACTCGAAGAAGGTTCCTCTTCCACTCTTTGCTTCTTGCTGAGGAACCTGTCCATGGTCTGCTGCTTCATCCGCCTTTTCAGCAGCTCCCTGAGAGGCAACATGACCGTCGTATCAAAAGTGTTCGCTTGGTCATGTGCCACGTGCTTGTTAGGGTGCTGCCGCTCTGCAAAAGCCTGCACCTCCTTCCACTTCTGGCAAATGTCCCTCAGTTCTTTGGAGGACGGCCGTTCCTCAGTTGCTGCCTCTTCTTCCAGCGAGGCCTGCTCCTGCGCAACCTCTGACTGCAGTTCAACCAGCTCCTGGGTGGTCAGCTCGTGGTCGTGCTCCTCCACCAGCTCGCTGACGTCCTCCTCTGTGACCTCCAGGCCCATGGTCCTCCCCAAGGCAACAATGTCCTGCACCACTGTTGACTCTGGTGCATCAGAGTCACTTGGTGCCACACAGTCCGGCCACAGGCTGCGCCAAGCGCAATTCAAATTTCTCTGGCTGATCCCGTTCCAGGCCGTGGTGATCATCTTCAAGCAGGTGACGATGTCGAAGCGGTCCTTCCAGAATTCCCGCAGGGTGATGGTGGTGCAATCAGTCACCTCGAAGCATCGCCTGAAAAGCTCCTTGGTGTAGAGTTTCTTGAAATTGGTGATGACCTGCTGATCCATCGGCTGGAGCAGTGGCGTGGTGTTAGGCGGCAGGAACATGATGTTGATGAAGCTGAACTCCTCCAACAAGTCCACCTCAAGGCCTTTAGGATTAGCAGGAGCATTGTCCATCAGAAGCAAAGCCTTCAGCGGCAGGTCATTGTCCAGCAGGTACTGTTTGACAGCAGAGCCAAAAGCAAGATTGACCCAGTCCACAAACAGCACACGTGTGACCCAAGCCTTACTGTTGGATCGCCACATGACACTCAGCCGCTCCTTGTCGACCATGTGTTTCTTGAAGGCCCGTGGGTTCTCCGAGTGGTACACCAGCAGGGGCTTGATCTTCAGGTCGCCGCTTGCGTTGGCACAGAAGAGCAGGGTCAGACGGTCCTTCATGGGCTTGTGGCCAGGCAACTTGGCCTCCTCCTGTGTGATGAAAGTCCTTTTGGGCATTCTCTTCCAAAACAGCCCGGTCTCGTCGCAGTTGAAGACCTGCTGTGGAACGTAGCCCTCCGTCTTCACAACCTCCAGGAACTCCAAGGCAAAGTCTTCAGCCGCAGGAACATCAGAACTGGCAGCCTCTCCATGCCTGACCACGCTGTGGATTCCAGATCTTGCCTTGAACCGGTCAAACCAGCCTCTGCTTGCCTTGAAGACTTCTGGCTCGGCCGAGGTTCCTGGCTGTTCCCGGATGAGGTCTGCATGCAAGGCCTTGGCCTTCTCACAAATGACGGCCTCAGTCACTGTGTCCCCTGCACGCTGCTTCTCTTCTAACCAGATGAGCAGCAACTTCTCGACCTCCTCCAGAACAGCTGGGCGGTTCTTCACGATCCTGGTGACTCCCTTGGCTGCATCAGTCGCAAGGATCTTCTCCCTCATCTTCAGGATGGTCCCGATGGTCGATGGGTTCCTGCCGTACTCCCTGGCGAGGTCTGTCACACGCATTCCACCGTCGTGCTTCCGGATGATCTCCTTCTTCATTTCCAGCGTCACCTTCTCCTTCTTCCTCTTGCCGGCCTCCGCAGCAGCAGCAGTCTTTTTGGGTCCCATGGCAGCACAGCTGTTACCTTCGTAAACTCAGAAAAAAAAAAAAAAAAATCAGCAATTCAAACCCAGAACCAAGTCCTTGAATTCCAAACACCCAACCCAAAATCCAAAACCCCCCAAAAAAGTTTTAAAAGTTTAACTTACAAAATGGCTGCAAATCACCAAAGTCTTCAAAATCCTCAAATGGCTGCAAAATAAGTTTTGGGAAAGCTTTAAAAATCACCAAAGTCTTCAAAAACCTCAACTGTTCCCCCAGCCCCTCCCCAACTGTTGCAAACCCCTCCCCAACTGTTGCAAACCCCTCCTCAACTGTTCCCCCAGCCACCCAGCACACAGAAATTCAAAACCCAGAATTTTTTTCAAAAAACAACAACATGGCCCAATGGTCACAGAAAACCATAAAAATTCCAAAAAAAAAAAAAACACAACCACACAAGCTCCCAGATTCTTGCAAACCCCTCCCCAGCTGTTCCCCCATCCACCCAGCACACAGAAATTCAAAACCCAGATATTTTTTCAAAAAACAACAACATGGCCCAATGGTCACAGAAAACCATAAAAATTCAGAAAAAAACCACACAAGCTCCCAGATTCCTGCAAACCCCTCCCCAGCTGTTCCCCCATCCACCCAGCACACAGAAATTCAAAACCCAGAATTTTTTTTCAAAAAAACAACAACATGGCCCAATGGTCACAGAAAATCATAAAAATTCAAAAAAACCCCACACAAGCTCCCAGATTCTTGCAAACCCCTCCCCAGCTGTTCCCCCAGCCACCCAGCACACAGAAATTCAAAACCCAGAAATTTTTTTCAAAAAACAACAACATGGCCCAATGGTCACAGAAAATCATAAAAATTCAAAAAAACCCCACACAAGCTCCCATATTGTTGCAAACCCTTCCCCAGCTGTTCCCCCATCCACCCAGCACACAGAAATTCAAAAATTCAAACCCAGATTTTTTTTTTTTATAAAAAAATAAACATGGCTCAATGGTCACAGAAAATCATAAAAATGCAGAAAAAACCACACAAGCTCCCAGATTCTTGCAAACCCCTCTCCAGCTGTTCCCCCATCCACCCAGCACACAGAAATTCAAAAATTCAAACCCAGATATTTTTTTTTTAAATAAACATGGCCCAATGGTCACAGAAAATCATAAAAATGCAGAAAAAAACCACACAAGCTCCCAGATTCTTGCAAACCCCTCCCCAACACCAAGTCCTTGAATTCTAAACACCCCAACCCAAAATCCAAAAAACCCCAAAAAAGTTTTAAAAGTTTAACTTACCAAACAGCTGCAAAAGAAGTTTTGGAAAAGCTTCAAAAATTCAGCAAACTCTTTAAAAAGCTCAAAAAGGCCACCACACAATGTGTTGCTCCTCGAAGTCAAGTCGCAACTGCACCTCTTCCAGCAATGCACCCTGGGTTTTAACGGTTTTACGAAAAAGGAAACAAACTTGCAAGACGTTTTCGTCTTGCGAAGCAAGCCCATAGGGAAATTCGTCTTGCGAAGCAACTCGAAAATGAAAAAACCTTTCGTCTTGCGAGTTTTTCGTCTTGCGAGGTGTTCGTCTTGCGGGGCACCACTGTATTCTTATCTTGCTCATTGCTTACAGCATGGGTCACTTCTTGTACATTGTGTTTTCTCCCTCCAGGTGATCTTCTCCCTTCTCCAAAATACACCCTTCCTCCAAAGTACTGTAGACCCCTAATGAGAGAGCCTTCTGGTAGCCACTGACTCTGGGCTTCCTCCACTGTCATCATTGGCCCATGACGGGGACTTTTCTTTTTTTTAAAAATAACAATTTTATTTATATAATTTATTTTACAACATACAAAAAAACCCCCCAATTTTTAAATGCAAAAGGTTTATCATATATCTCTTACTTCGACTCCCCTCCCCCCTTCTGCAGTTCCTTGTTTTTATAATATTTTACTGCATTTCCAAATTAAACCAAATTATCATTTTTCCCTGTGTTCCATAGACTTCCCCTCACAACTGCTGCATGTTTTCATATTAAGCCTGCTAATGCCTTAATTTGTTTATAATAATTTTGTATGTATTCTATAAATGATTTCCATTCTTTCTTAAAAACTTGATCATTTTGATTTCTTATTCTTTTGGTAACTTTCGCCATTTCTGCATAGTTGTTTCTGTAACCATTCCTCTTTTGTTGGGACGTTTTCTGCTTTCCATCTTTGGGCAAAGATCATCCAGGAGACCATGGCTGCATACATAAATACATTTCTATATTGTCTAGGTAATTCTCATAATTCTCAAAAGAAAAGCCTCCGGTTTTTTTGTTTTGCAAAAGTTATCTTAAACACAACGGGGCCTTTTCAGTGGTGGCTCCCCATTTGCGGAATGGCTTCCCTATTGAGGTGCATGCACCTGTGTCCATCAATATTAACTTCCAGGAATTAAAAAAAAAAACACACCCCTGCACTACTCCTGGCCACCCCAAAGATCACTGAATCCAAGAATGTTTTTGAACGGCAACTGCTTTTAGAAGTACGTCATCTTCTTCAGACTGCTTTAATTGTTTTAGGGTGCATTTGTTTTTATCCTGTTTTTATCCTCACGCAAGTCACTGAGAGACAGTGATTGGCCCAAGGCCAACTTTTGGGTTTGACAAGTTCCCTCATGCAGCAAGGACTACAGTTCCCAGCATCCCCCAGCACGCCCATTGAGCCTCCAGCTTCCCTTTTGTACCGCTGCGCATGCTGGGTAACGCAGTCCGCTTAAGAGCAGCTCTTTGAAGTCAGCGCAGGGCTGCCGGAAGTAGCCCCTTGCAGCGGCACGCTGGGTATTGTAGTCCGTCTGAACCGTTAATCGCCATGGGAACTGCAAGCCGTGATGCCCTTCTGCCGTCTTATGCTTTGGTTGTCCCTGCCGCCAAGGGAGCAGGTGGCTGGGCCTCTCAGAAGGCCTGACCGGGGTCTTAAAAAGGAAGCCGTGGCGGAGAGAAAAGGTCCTCAAAGAAGCGCAAAGAGCAATACCCCGCGTTATGCCGCAGGAACTCCGCGCAAGGTGTGCTGGGAATTGTAGTCTTTTCCATACCTGCCGTTCTCTTAATATTGAAGTACTGTATTAATTGGGAGTAAATTTCATGGAGCGCCCTGGTTCCCAGAACACGTGCACAGCTAGTTGTTTATCTTTAAGGCTTACACAGGACTCTTTGTCCTATATTACTTACTACTACAGGATTCTTTCTCCTAACTTTAACATTGATTGATTCATTCATTCATTCCCCGCCTTTTCCCCTAATAGCGACTCCAGACTTCTTACAGCTAAAAATGAGAGCAGCTTAAAACATAGGGGGAAAAGGTCTCATTAAAAACAATGTAACACACACATTTTTTTAGACACCTCTGCTATTGTGCCAATTTGAGAGGTGCCGGAACTGAGTTCTGGCAAGTTCCGGCTGAAAAAACCCCAACTTCATACAGTGGTACCTCGGGTTACATATGCTTCAGGTTACATATGCTTCAGGTTACAACTCCGCTAACCCAGAAATATTACCTCGGGCTAAGAACTTTGCTTCAGGATGAGAACAAAAATCGCGCAGCAGCGGGATTAGCTAAAGTGGTGCTTCAGGTTAAGAACAGACCTCCAGAACGAATTAAGTTCTTAACCCAAGGTACCACTGTATATACAATATCAAACAAAAAACCCCCTACAAATTGATAGAATTATATATAGGGGTGCATGAGGTGATAGTGGAGGGGTAGTTCCTCTGGTGGGGGACACATCATGCTCCTTCTGGGGTGGTTTGTCCACTTTTGGCCCCCACCCTGCACTCATCTCGCAGCTGGGGCTCCCAAAAGCTGTCCGCGTAAGACAGCAGCCATGCCTCATAAAACTGCTTCAACTCGCCAGTTAAACCAAGTGAGGGTAGCTCTCAAACCCTTGGTGAGTTAGGGACTTCCCCTGCATGTGAAGACAGCTTCTGGTAGACTGAGTAGATGAAACCAGTAGTGGGTCCAATGGTCAAGAGATTGGTTCCTTGCATGTGCTGCAGAGGGAAGTAAGGGGCAATTTGAGTTCATCAACCTGAGAAGGTAGCTCACCTAGGAGAAGAAAAGCTCTGATCCTAAACCTCTGTTGCCTTGCAGGATATCTTCAGGAGTAGAAGTAATCCCTACACAAATCTGGAGTCCGTAAGGTAGAATCATAGAATCATAGAGTTGGAAGAGACCACAAGGGCCATCGAGTCCAACCCCCTGCCAAGCAGGAAACACCATCAGAGCACTCCTGACATATGGTTGTCAAGCCTCTGCTTAAAGACCTCCAAAGAAGGAGACTCCACCACACTCCTTGGCAGCAAATTCCACTGTCGAACAGCTCTTACTGTCAGGAAGTTCTTCCTAATGTTTAGGTGGAATCTTCTTTCTTGTAGTTTGGACCCATTGCTCCGTGTCCGCTTCTCTGGAGCAGCAGAAAACAACCTTTCTCCCTCCTCTATGTGACATCCTTTTCTATATTTGAACATGGCTGTCATATCACCCCTTAACCTCCTCTTCTCCAGGCTAAACATGCCCAGCTCCCTTAGCCGTTCCTCATAAGGCATCGTTTCCAGGCCTTTGACCATTTTGGTTGCCCTCCTCTGCACACGTTCCAGTTTGTCAGTGTCCTTCTTGAACTGTGGTGCCCAGAACTGGACACAGTACTCCAGGTGAGGTCTGACCAGAGCAGAATACAGTGGCACTATTACTTTCCTTGATCTAGATGCTATACTCCTATTGATGCAGCCCAGAATTGCATTGGCTTTTTAGCTGCCGCGTCACACTGTTGGCTCATGTCAAGTTTGTGGTCAACCAAGACTCCTAGATCCTTTTCACATATACTGCTCTCAAGCCAGGTGTCACCCATCTTGTATTTGTGCCTCTCATTTTTTTTGCGCAAATGCAATACTTTACATTTCTCCCTGTTAAAATTCATCTTCTTTGTTTTGGCCCAGTTCTCTAATCTGTCAAGGTCGTTTTGAAGTGTGATCCTGTCCTCTGGGTGTTAGCCACCCCTCCCAGTTTGGTGTCATCTGCAAATTTGATCAGGATGCCCTTGAGTCCATCATCCAAGTCGTTGATAAAGATGTTGAATAAGACCGGGCCCAAGACAGAACCCTGTGGCACCCCACTAGTCACTCTTCTCCAGGATGAAGAGGAACCATTGATGAGCACCCTTGGTGGTTGGATGTCTTCTTTTACGCCTCTTTTGAGATTCCCGCATTGCAGAGGACTGGACTAAGGGTCTCTCGGGGTCCCTTCCAACTCTACAATTCCATGATTCTGTGATTTCTCATGGCAACTCCTGCAGCCAAGCTAGTGCCATACATATTGCTTTGGACCACATCAGTGAGGCCAAGAGGGGGTCTTGTCATCTGGGCAGCCTTCATGCACACTGCCCAGGCTTGCACCCCAGAGAGGTTACATTGGTGCTGCTAATGCAGCGGATAGACTTCAGTCTGGAGGTGCATTCTGTTGCGTTTTGAAACAGACTGATGCCAACTACCTCATAATGGGAGGGCAATGCCTCCCATTTTACAAGATAATCCAGATCAGAAGAAAATATTATGTTAATCTCAGGGGAAAGCACTGCATCCCATGGATACAAAATGCCAGCTGAGAAAAATGCAGGAACTTAATGTGTTGAACCAAAGGGGAAGATGTTATCTGGAAGGTCTGCAGGTGCCATCTTGGTAGTCAAGATAACCCCAAAACTAATTGGTAGTTGTATGACTAAGCTCATATTTGTTTATGTACAGTGGTGCCTCGCAAGACGAAATTAATCCGTTCCGCGAGTGTCTTCGTGTAGCGGTTTTTTCGTCTTGCGAAGCAACCCTATTAGCGGCTTAACGGATTAGCGCTATTAGCGGTTTAGCGGCTATTAAAGGCTTATCGGCTTAGCGGATTAGCTGCTAAAAGGCTATTAAAGGCTTAGCGGCTTAGATAAAGGGGGAAGCGACAAAAAATCTCAAGACTCGCAAGACATTTTCGTCTTGCGAAGCAAGCCCATAGGGAAATTCGTCCTGCGAAGCAACTCAAAAACGGAAAACCCTTTCGTCTAGTGGGTTTTCCGTCTTGCGAGGCATTCGTCTTGCGGGGCACCACTGTACTCACCTGAATTATGTCGGCTAATTGGCTCACTTATCTTTTGATGTTGGGATGCTTGGCTCTAGGCCCAGAGAGGGGAGAAGCTTTGGACAGCGGTGGGTGAGAAAAAGCTAGAGTAAACCCTATACAAATCTGGAGCCCCTAAGATAATTGGATAGTGCCTTGTATGCCTCCTTCTGGCAACTTCAGTGCAGCCAGGCTGGTGCCAAACAAAGTAGCTGTAACCATGGATTTGGTTGTTTTGGGGCTGAACTCCAAGGCCTTGTGGGCAAATCTCGCTGAGCTTGCTGTCACTCACCTTCCTGGCTATGCAGACACTCCTGACTTGGTCACCCAGCTCAGGCCTTGAGTGTCAAGAATCTCCCCAGGCTGCTAGAGTAACTGTGTTTCTGTTTCCATTTGTGTTTCAGATATCCAGGAGTGTTATGAGCTGAACTTGTTCTCTGCTTGAAAGCAGGATGGGGCCATGGATCTGGAGCCTGGCACTATCCAAGAACGTGGGTAATGCCAGCAAAGAGTGATACTTGGAGAATTGTGACCATAACAGATACGGCCTGCAGATGAGAAGTTTTAAAATACCATAGATTGCTGAATTAGCCAAAGGCTTGTCACTTAAAGGTAACAAAGGGGCCAGGTGAGCTTCCTTGGAGAGAGTATGCCAAAACCAGGGAGCCATGACAGAAAAGGCTCAGTGTGGCTGCCCTCCAGACCTTTTGCAAGGAGGGCACATGAAGACAGGCTTCAGAAGATAATTGCGGGGTGTAGGACAGTTCCTTTGGGGAGAGGGAGTCCTTGAGGCATTGGAGTCTTGAGCCATTTACGGCTTTATAGGTCAAAACCAGCACTTTTAATTGGGCCCTGAAACTAATTGGCAACGAGTGCTATCTGGCCAGGATTGGTGTTGCCTGCTCAAACAGCCTAGTCAGCTGGCTACCGAATTCTGCACCAGCTGAAGTTTCCAAACCATCTACAGACGCAGCCCTATGTATATTGTGTTGCAGTAATCTAGCCTAGAGGCTTCCAGAGTGTAGACAACAGAAGTTAGGTGGTCCCTGTCCAGATAGGGGCATAGCTGGGCTACTTGGCACCACTCAAGCCACTTGAGCCTTGAGCGACAGGAGTGGATCTAGAAGTATATCCAAACTGCGTACCAGCTCCTTCAGAAGGAATGTAACCACATGAAGGGCAGGCCACTTTCCACCCACTAACATATATGTATAGTTACATATAATCATCATAATGGTGACAAGGGACTTGTGTCCTCTCCTTCCAGCTGCATTTGGATCAGAGTCTGATAATAAGTACTGTTGCATGTAAGTCACCTGGAAACCAGGGCCAGCCGAATGCTACTTGCAAGACTTTGTCCTCATGTTAGGGTTGGAAATACTGTAATACAGAGCTGGATTGCCTTGATTGTGTGACATATTTGCTAAGAACATCATGGTGATTAAAATAGAGATATTCCTTCAGAAATTACTGTAGTTTGACTGCCTCTTCTTTAGCTAGAGCTAATGTCAAAGGCAAATTCCACCCCTGCTCCTCATCATCAGGGCTGGATTTAGGTTTGATGAGACCCTAAGCTACTGGAGGTAATAGGGCCCTTTATATGTCCAGCTGTCTTTTGTCAACAACAAATTGTCACTGTTAAAAGGCGAAAGATTTATACGATCTGAAGAGAAACCAGAGTTAGAATCCAAAACTAAGAATTTGTCAAGAATGTATAACTTGCTGCTGAAATGGAATACTCAGGATGAAACGGTGAAATCTGCTATGATTAAATGGGCACAAGATGTTGGACATAACATCATGTTCGCTGACTGGGAAAAGTTATGGACCACAGGTATGAAGTTTACGGCATGTAATGCCCTAAGAGAGAATATTATGAAAATGATATACAGGTGGTACATAACCCCAGTCAAGCTTGCAAAAATCTACCATTTGCCTGATAATAAATGTTGCAAATGTAAAGAAACTGAAGGTACATTTTTTCACCTTTGGTGGACGTGCCCAAAGATTAAGGCTTTCTGGGAGATGATATATAATGAATTAAAAAAGGTATTTAAATATACCTTCTTGAAACCAGAGGCCTTTCTCCTGGGCATAGTCGGCCAATTGGTGTTAAAAAAGGATAGAACTTTCTTTATGTATGCTACAACAGCAGCAAGAATACTCATCGCAAAGTATTGGAAGACACAAGAGTTACCCACACTGGAGGAATGGCAGATGAAAATGATGGACTACATGGAATTGGCGGAAATGACTGGTAGAATCCGTGACCAGGGAGAAGAGTCGGTGGAAGAAGATTGGAAGAAATTCAAAGATTATTTACAGAAATATTGCAAAATTAATGAATGTTAGAGTGATGTTGGATTGAAGTTAAGTGGTTTCTAGCTGTACAGGCTTTAAAGTTATAAATATATCAAGATTAAGGATTAGGATTAAAAGGTTAAAAGAATGGAAAAATTGGTTTTTAATAGGTAAAAATTTAATGTTATAATATATTAAGATTAAGGATTGGGATTAAAAAGGAGGGAAAGAAATTGCTGGACTAACAAACTGAATTGGAATACAAAAGAGGGAGGTATGAGGAAGTCCGGGAAACAAGTAAATGTAAAAGAAGTTATGAAAAGATGGAATTGTTTTTAACTGTTTTTTTTCCTTTTATCTTTTTGTATTTTGTATTTTGTATTTTTCTTTGTTATTTTTAAATTTTTCTTTTTTATTAATGTGATTCTATTTTTTGTGAAACTTTAATAAATATTAATTAAAAAAAACAAAAAAACAAATTGTCACTGTTTTTTGTGTTGAATTTATGCTATATGGTAATTTATGGACCTAATAGGTATCTAAAGCCATTTGCACATAACAAAATATGTACCGTATTTTTCGCCCTATAAGACGCACTTTTCCCCCTCCAAAAATGAAGGGGAAATGTGTGTGCGTCTTATAGGGTGAATGCAGGCTCCTTGGCTTCAGCGATAGCAACGCGAAGCCTCCGAAGTCTGCGCTCCAGAGGCTTCGCGTTGCTTCTGCTGAAGCCAGGAGAGTCTGCTCTTTGAGGCTGGCTGTGGGGGAAAGCAGCGCTTCCTCCATCGCCAGCCCCAGAGGATGGGGGGCAGCGGGAAGGCACACGACGCCTTCCTGCTACTCTCCAACCTGGCTTGGAGGCTGGCGGTGGGGGAAAGCAGGCTTTTCCCCAAGGAGGAAGAAGGGACTGATTGGCGGAGTCCGTCCCTTCTCCCTCCTGTGGGCTTTTGCGGGAGATGGGGGAATTCCCCCACCTCCCGCAAAAGCCGTGCGCTCTTTAAAGCGGTTGCGTGGCTTCTGCTGGCTTTTCTAGGAGGTGGGGGAATTCCCCCACCTCGTAGAAAAGCACGTAGGAGCCGCGCAGCCTTTGGGCTTTTGCGGGAGGTGGGGGAATTCCGCCACCTCCCGCAAAAGCAGAAAGAAGGTCTTGGAGTAGCGCACAGGCTGCGTGCAGCCTGTCCGCTGCTCCCAGAGCTGTGGGGGGGAAATCATATTTTTTTCCTTGATTTTCCCCCCTGAAAACTAGGTGCGTCCTATGGGCCGGTGCGTCCTATAGGGCGAAAAATACGGTATTTTATCAAAGTAATTGTTGAACTGAAATACAATTAAGAAGTATATTACTAGTGAAATACAATTAAGAAGTATATTAATAGTGAAATAATTATTAAGCTCTAACTATATGTAGGTTTTATTTTATTTGTTTTTTCATCTTATATTTTGGAACTGTACATCCAGTTTTTTTTCCTTTAATTTTTGGGGGGCACCCAAGAGAGTGGGGCCCTAAGCTATAGCTTGTTTAGCTTATACGCGCTGTGGGTTAAACCACAGAGCTTAGGACTTGCCGATCAGAAGGTTGGCGGTTCGAATCCCCGCGCCGGGGTGCGCTCCTGTTGCTCGGTCCCTGCTCCTGCCAACTTAGCAGTTCGAAAGCACGTTAAAGAGCAAGTAGATAAATAGGTACTGCTCAAGTGGGAAGGTAAACAGCATTTCTGTGCGCTGCTCTGGTTTGCCAGAAGCGGCTTAGTCATGCTGGCCACATGACCTGGAAGCTGTACACTGGCTCTGCATGAGATGAGCGCCGCAACCCCAGAGTCGGCCACTACTGGACCTAATGGTCAGGTGTCCCTTTACCTTTATCTTTAAATCCGTCACTGCTCATCATAACATTTTTTACTGTTTCTCCATTGATAATGCAGACCAATAGTCTCAGTGACATACACCTGAATGAATGGCAAAAGAATCACTTTGTTGTTATCTCTTGCTCCTCTACACCAGGACAGAAGGTGGATGCATATGATACACAGATTTTACACATTCAGTACACGTAGCCAAGATCAGAGATCTCCCAGGTTCATGCTGTGAACCCGTTAAAAAATATATGCAGAAAAATACTTGACAGCTATTGACTGTGACAGTGCCACGACTGGCTTGAATAACTGTGCTAAAGACATTACAACTCTGGCAAGATGTCAGCAAAATGACAGTGACAAGTGGCAGTCTGGGTTGACAACAAGTGATGTGATGGAACTGAGGTGTGTGCAAGAGTTGAGGCAGGATTGCAAAAAGTCCCAGAGCTTTCTGATGCCAGCTTTGATAAGGGAACTGCTGCCTCTGTTATTTCAGGCCTTCCCAAGCTCACTCTCTGCAGTGGAGATGGGGGAATCTGTGCTTGGCGCAGCCTTATCAAATTGTGTAAATTGGGGACCAGATATCCTTGGGATCCACTGTGTAGACTCTATGTGGCTAGATCTACAGGGCTGCCTTGTCCAACAGATGAACGGTTAAAGAATATAGAACCAAAAATGATGAAGCAAATTATGCAAGAGACTGTGGACTGTGGGCCTCTGGTAAACTGAGGTGACATTGTTTGAGCTGAGTTTGCAAAAGCGACTATCAAGGAGATTGTAGTGTGGCCTGTGTTGATGGCCCAATATTTTTTGCCACTGAGGTGAATCAGAAAATGACATTCCCCTGGAAATGCTTGGAATTGTAGCACCTAATTTTTTTTTTTGAAAAAGAAGAAGCACTGATAAAAAATGCAAGTGGGTTTTATGGAGCTGATGTGACTCAGCTTTGCTGAGAGGCATCTATAAGTTCCATCCACAGCCTTGGGTCTGGTGACATTCTGACTATCACATCTGAGCAAGTCTATTGTTTTCCCCCATTCAGTTCTGACTTGTGATTTACTTTCATTTCTGAAATGTTTGTGGCGCCCTAATAAATGACACTTTTAATAGTTGGTTGCCTAATAGTTTAATAGTTGGTTGCCTAAGCTTCTGAGCTTCTGAAGCTTCAGGCAGATTGCCTAAGGAAAGATCCTGGTCCAGTTTGCATGCCATGCTACTCAGTGGTATACTGTGTATGCATGGATCTCACCCACTTTGCTCCTCCACAAGTTCTAGTGTTATAAAGGAGGGAGGGAGGAAAACTTAGTTCTGAGTCCAGTTTCACCCACACTGTCACTGGCTTCGCATTGCATCGGAGCCCGGGAGTTTGTTTCACTCAAAAACCCCCACAGTATATACCTGATGTAATGCTTGGCTGGAGATTGTTGCTTGTTTTCCATGCATGTTAGTAGGAAGGAATTCAGTGGGTGAGATCAGTGCATTCATGGTAAATCATTATGGCTTTCTGCGACGTGTTAAAGGGCCAATTGTCGTCATGTAGAACAACAATCCTCAGCATACTTACAAGGAAACAAATCCCCTTGAACTCGTTGGAATTTACTAATAAGTAAACATGCGGGTGGCGCTGTGGGTTAAACCACAGAGCCTAGGACTTGCTGATCAGAAGGTCGGTGGTTCGAATCCCCGCGACGGGGTGCGCTCCCATTGCTCGGTCCCTGCTCCTGCCAACCTAGCAGTTCGAAAGCATGTCAAAGTGCAAGTAGATAAATAGGTACCGCTCCGGCGGGAAGGTAAACGGCATTTCCGTGCGCTGCTCTGGTTCACCAGAAGTGGCTTAGTCATGCTGGCCACATGACCTGGAAGCTGTATGCCGGCTCCCTCGGCCAATAAAGTGAGATGAGCGCTGCAACCCCAGAGTCAGTCATGACTGGACCTAATGGTCAGGGTCCCTTTACCTTTACCTTTAAACATGCATGCAATCTGATGCAGCATAAAAGTGTCATAGCTGCTCCCATCATAGCTAGTGTATAGAATCCATAAGGATTATCTGTAGCTTTCATGCCTTCTCTCACTCTCTGTTTCTGGCATTTTACCTCTCCTCTTTCACTTCTATGCTCGTTCTCACTCTGCTTGCTCTTCAGGTGCTCAGGTGCCAAACTGAGCCTTGAAAAACATAAGCTGAAAGAGGAGGTGGGAAAGAATGCCTCTCTTCCAAATTCTTTCTTCAGCTCTATGTTCTTTCTGGGTGGGTGGGAGGCCGAGCACCCTCACCATGGAATGGCAAAGGGGTTATTTAGTGGGGAGGGGGTGCAGAGTCTTTGTGGGCACTGGAGGCGCCATATTAGTGACTTCAGCAGCAGGCCATTCCCATTCTGCAGCTGGGGTGAGTCTACCTCAGCTCTGTGCGCTGACCTGGATTAGGAAGGCTCTGCATTTTCCCTTCCCAATGTTTTTAAGTTTAAAGTTGTGGTGCTGGCCCTTGGTGGATTTCACTGGTAGAGGTATTGATGGTTAAAAAACTAAATATGGAAGGGAGGTGGGCCACCTACCGATGGAAACTGATACAGGTTTGAAACTGAAACCATATGACCAAAGAGAAGAGAACTTTACAGGATGCTTGCAATATCATCA